AGCACTACCGTTTGACAAGCTTTCTATCGATGAAAATGAAAATTTTCACTATCATTTTCTGCTTCCCTTTTGAACGAGCGCTCTGTTGAGTTCTCACGAAAATTATGATCTTATACTCAGGGGTGAGGATAGTCTTATTCAGGAAGCGGACTCTTGTAAATTCGAACAAATGAAAAACCAATTAAAACTTACTTCTTCTCATTACAAGGAGCACGCCTGTTCATTCACGCATGATAAAAGCGATGAAAACATTACCTTTTTTTAAAATAGGCTGAAGAAAATGAGATGAGAGGAGAAAATTTAGATACAAACTGGAAAAAAAAAATTTCAACAATATCGAAGTCAAATATTTTGGTTCCCTATTGCAGGACGATAAAACGGAGATAAAACTGAAGCGACGTGCATAAGTTTGAAAAGTAAAGATGATGTTGCACTTTCAGTCGAACAGACGATAGGGAAAATGTCGTCACACCCAAATGTGTTTAAAGTTCAACATATATTCATGTGCAGCATAAAGCAAATCTGAGGGTATTCCAGGAGAGCTCAAAGACAGGGAGAGAAAAAGATCTTCGGTTTTCGTCTTATTTGCTTTTAACTAAGTTCTACTTCACAGAGAGTACGCGAGCATGAAAGCATATATTAAAACGAGAGCAAAACGATCATCAGTGAAAAATAGCAAAAGATATGCGTTATCATCATGTTCATTTTTCCTTAGATTGCTAGCGTACTGATTCGAGCAAACAAAACATTCATGAATCCATCAGCTTTGACGATATTACAATAGAATGTGGTAGTAGGTGGGATAATAGTATCATATCGTGGCTGCAAACTTCAAGACTAAAGTTAAGAAGGGAGGCGTAATTCTGACTCTGCATTAGCAAAACAAGTCATCATAGAGACGAGAGAGGCCATTAATTAGCTTAGTTCATCGTAATGGTTTCCACATAAGTTCCATTTGCTGAGATCCATCGCTCGGTTGGATGAATACTTCACCGTTTGAATCTCTCCAATTATCGTATCTCAGAACAAAAAGAGTCTGTTGAAGGTGATATTAGTTTGTGTGAAATTTGTGTTACATACCTCGAAGTTTTTCTTTTTCAAGAATTTTTGATTGGCTAAGGACGATACCTCGGAAACGATACCGTCGGCGTCATGAATCTAAAAGAATTACTGCATTATTTGAATGGAGGAGTTAACAAGCCTCATCTAATCTTCTGTCCATGAAGAAGTTCAACATTCCGGTAGCAATTCCTTTCCTTTGATATTCATCTGATACACTACTCATTTCTCTGAGGAGTTTTCTTGTTAATGATAATTCAAACTCAGCATTACTGATGAATAACTCTCTTAACTGTAGGGTCAACTAACTTCCAAAAAGAATTATGAACGATATTAACGATTTCATCTGAAGCACATTAGTTACATAATCGTATTACATTCCCAACCATGAACTGCTGCCAATTGATCGTTTCTTGTGCTAGTATTGTAGTAGGACTCACTTTCTTCCGATCTATCCCATATGGAGCATAGCATAATTCCGACAAGCTCATTTGTTTCTAAAATAATAGTTTTGTAAACTTTTCAGAAAGTGTTGAAAACCTTTATGACGACAGGTAACTGACAGTTGGTTGTCCAAGCAACGTTCTGTAACACCTCGAATAACTGGCTGAAAATCTTCCAGACGTATTTGAGCTGCCTAGTAAATATAGCTACAAGTAGGAGAATGGAATGTTAATACCTGATTAAGAGGTTCTCTCAAGAGATAATACAGTTGCAGAAACTCATGAATTTCTTGCTCTTCTGTGGGACGAGCAAAGTCATAAACGAACATGACCGCTGAAGAAACGAAATGAAATGAATTTCAAACTCTTCCGACATTTATTTCTTTCCTATCCTGACCGTCGCTGATAAAAACGAGTTTGCTTCTTTTCGATGTGTGCCTGTCAAATGCAAAATTTTATATTAAAAAAAATGAATTGCAAATGAATTAAATATTTTGAGAGAAAATATTTATCGAAATCAATTCTTAAATATATTTTCGAATATAATTAAAACAAAAAAACGAGAGGAAGATCATGGATCATGGTGACTATTTCATAGGAAACAACATGAAATTAGTTGAGCACTGAGATAGAAAAAGAAAAATCAACTGAGCAAATTAAAATTCGAAATAAGTAAGGCCATGGAAAGAGAAGTTCAAGATCATCGCAATCTTTGAGAAGATAATTCTTTGAAATATCCTATGAAAGAAGAGTTTAAATTACGAAACGGAATGCAAAGCAGGATTCGATCAAAGCTTGAATTTGAGTACAGGAGGCTTGAGGGAAATATCTGAAACACATTTTGTAATCTGCACGTCTAGTACAAAACTTTCACTCAACCTCTTAGCAATCTGACAGTTCCTCTGAATCCATTCAGAAGGATCAGTTATGTTAAACACACGTGTGAACTTATTAATTGCAGCACACTGAAAACATTAGCATATAAAAAACACGTGAAATTTGAACAATCACGTGATCATCACATGAAGAATGAAATACAAAACGAATTCATTCTCCAGTTTTGATTCGTGTAGAACGGTTGTGACTGTTAAGCGTGATTCACCTGTGCTGGTCGGAGTCTATATCTCACACGGTCAGTTGTAGAAACTGTCTCCGGCGTAGTAGAAATTGATCCAAATTCAATCTCCTCTTGTTTTTCTTTGATGAGCCGGACTCTTTCCTGGAAATAAAAATGTTCAACTTGTTTCTGTGAGACTTTTTGTGCCTCTTCTAATCTTGCTTGTTGTAAGAGAAGTTCTTGCTGGCGAGCTTCTGCTTCACGTAAAATTGCTACTCGACGCTTCATATCTTCTTCTTTCTCAAGCATTTCTTCTCTCCATTTGTTTTGTTTTTCCTGCTCTTCAATTTCTTCTTGATGTTTACGGGTCTCCTCTTCTTTTTTCATCTGAAAAGATAATGTAAAATCGGATATGAAGCTGCACCCACTTGTTCATCCTTTATCCGTTCTTCCCTCACTCTCTTCTCGTACTCCTCAGCTTCCTTCAATGCATTACTTGCTTGCATTCTTCTGATTTCGCTTATTTTGGAAATTTCGGACTCCACTGGAGCAACAACAACAGGAGACAATTCATTAGGTGGTGCGACGGTCACTTGGCTGGTCAATTGAATTCTAAATGTACCGTTAGATTTACTTAAATTAATTATTCTTACGCTGGAGGAGGGAAAGTTGGAGGATTAAGGTTGAGCTGAGATTTCTGGTTTTGCAATGTCTTCGAAGCTTCCCCGATTAGTCCTGTGATTAGCGAAGTTATAGGATCTTGCGCGACAGGCAATGGAATATTGTTGCGTCTTAATAAAAATAAATGTGTACTCAGGTGAAGTTTAGAAAATCTTACTCTAGCAAATGATCCCCGAAGTTGGGGTTCTGTAACTGTTCTCTTGCATTCTCAATAGCGAAAGATAATGCGGGTGATTCATTGGAAGGTGTTGGTGGAACAGCTGAAGTAGTTGTTTCCGTAATACTGGAATCATCATCTTCAATTTCTTCATTGCCTGAGGAGAGCGTGATAAACGATGGTGCTACTACTCCTTTTTTTTCTTCGCTCTCATCATTTTCATCGCTCTGTTCGGAACCAGAATCCGTTGATGATGTTGTGACCTTCTTTGATCCTTTCTTCCGTGATCTTGTAGTCGGTTCTTCTGTGGTAACCTCTTCCGTTGTTGTTGTTGTTTCATCGTCGCTTTCCGTTACCAGTTTTCCTTCATTTTCATTATCTTCCAATTCCTCACTATCCGAAGTTTCTGTTTTTTCTTCAGCTGAAGTTGTTCTTTCTTCTGAAGTCGTAGTCGATTCTGACGTGGAGGAAGCATTTTCTGTCGTTGCGGAATCTTCAGAAGATGTTTCAGAATCCTCTTTTGGAGTTTTTGTTTCATCTGGGTTGATGGTGGTCTCCTCTGGGTTGATGGTGGTCTCCTCTGGGTTGATGGTGGTCTCCTCTAGGTTGATGGTGGTTTCCTCTGAGCTGATGGTGGTCTCCTCTTGGCTGATGGTGGTTTCCTCTGCAGTTTGAGTTATCTCCTCAGAAGAATTTGTTTTTCCTTCAGTCACAGGTTCTGATGTTTTTTCTGGAGTTGTAGTAGAGGCATTTTCGGTGGTTGTTGTTTCAAGAGCAGTAGTGGTACGCTCATCAATAGTAGTTGTATGTTCTTCAGTAGTTGATGGGACTCCAGTCGATGTTTCCGGTGAAGAAACGGATGATGTTGTTGTTTCAATGGTAGTGGATGTGTTTGGTTCCTCCGCTGTTGAAGTTGAAGCTTGGGTGTTCTCGGTGATGGGTGTAGTGGTTTCACCATCATTCTGTCCAGCAATTTCAACTACTGAAGTTTCTTTTGGAGTCTTTTTCTCATCGTCCTCGAGTCTCTTCTTGCTTTGTTTGAGAGATTCTAACTTGTTTTTAAGCCTCTGAACGAGAAGACGCCAGCGCTCTGGTAAAACCTGCAAGATGAAAGTTGAAGTGAAAAAACCGAAAAAGAAGAAACTCACAACTTTTGTTGTTGAGACGATAGTAGTTGCCTCAGTCGTTACGGCTGCATCATCTAAGAAAAGCGATTGAACCTCTCAATTGGAAAAAAGGTTGTATACCTGTTGCGGAGCTATCTATTGTTGAACTAAGAGGTTCTGCTTCAGTAGTGATTGAAGCTTCTGTGGTAGTCGTTGTTGCTTCTACTGTAGTTGTAGCTTCATCAGTAGTAGTTGTTGGAGCTTTTTCAGTACTGGTTGAAGTCTCTTCGGTAGTACTAAGAGCTTCTGTGGTAGTGGTTGTCGCTTCTACGGTACTGGTTGTGGTCTCTTCTGTAGCGGGTGTAGCTTTAGTAGTAGTGGTTGTAGCTTCTTCGGTAGTAGTGAGGGCTTTTGTAGTAGTGGACGGGGCTTCTGTAGTAGTGGTGGTAGCTTCTGTAGTAGTGGTTGAAACTTCAGTAGTAGTTGATGTAGCCTCTTCGGTGGTAGTAGGAGCTTCAGTGGAAGTGGTGGTTGTTTCTACGGTACTGGTTGTTGTATCAACTGTAGTAGTTGTAGCTTCAGTTGTAGTGGTTGTAGCTTCTCCTATAGTAGTTAAGGCTTCTGTAGTAATAGATGGAGGTTCTGTGGTAGTAGTCGTGGTCTCTTCAGTAGTAGTTGATGCTTCTGTAGTAGAAGATAGAGCTTCAGTGGTAGTGGTCGTAGTCTCTTCAGCTGTAGTTGAGGCTTCTGTAGTCGTAGACGGAGCTTCTGTGGTAGTAGTCGTAGTCTCTTCAGCAATGATTGAAGCTTTTGCGGTGGAAGATGGAGCTTCGGTGGTAGTAGTCGTAGTCTCTTCAGTAGTGGTTGAAGCTTTTGTGGTGGAAGATGGAGCTTCGGTGGTAGTAGTCGTAGTCTCTTCATTGGTTTTCGAAGCTGTTGTGGTGGAAGATGAAGCTTCGGTGGAAGTGATAGTGGTTGAATCTTCTGTTGTAGTTGAAGGTTTCTCCTCTGTTACAGCGGCGGATTCTGTTGTCGTAGTTACATCATGGAACGCTGCAGTAGATGTTTCTTCAGAAGTTGATGTTGAAGGCAGCTCTGTTGTAGTTGGTGTAGATTTTGTTTTGAAAACTTTAGCTGGAGCTCGGCGAATTCCAGACGATGTAAATAGCTCTAAAGGAACTTCAGATACCGACTCAGTTGAAGAAGGGGTTGATGTAGTTGGGGATAAAGTAGTCATAACAACCTGGAACATGCAACATTTATTGTACAAAGCTTTGTCTATTCAAAACCGTTGTTATCATCTCATCAGCAGATTCAGCGATTTCATGAACAATACTTTCACCGGTTGGGTTTGGATCCGGAGCCGGATGCACATCAACATCGTTATTACCAATAGAAGTCTACATAAGATGAGAATATCATCGGAACTGTTATAAGAGAGGAACCTTTTCAGTTTGAGGTGTGTCAAATGGATTTGTTTTGATTTGTGGAATACATCGACATGAGCAATCACAAGTATTATCTTTGATATTCTTCATTATGTGAAACTCTGGAAATGGAGAGAAAATGAATTTCATTTATTGTTTTTATCTGATTTTTTTTGGACAAAATTCTTATGAGAAACAGCCTTGAAGGATGAAAGAATGACCGATTTCTCAGTAAACTTTTGTTCCACATTGCCATCATTCAACTGATAACTTTTCTCATTTTACGATAGTTTTATTTTTTTCGATTTAAACCCAAAAAATGAGTCAGTTGAGATGAAATATGAAAGATGCAAACCTTTCGTTCCATCTGAATGAAGGGTTTTGCTCAACATTGAGCTTGAACACACCAATGTCGGTATTAACCATAGTAGAAGAAATATATTCATCTAAAAGTAGATATTCACATTGAAAAGTAAACTTGAAACGATGTTTTGAGTAAAAAGGGTATGAAGAGGTAAACGAAGACCTTGACGGTTGCATTTGAAATCGATAGAGATCAGCTCGAAATTTCATATGAAAACATCTTACATTCCGAACTGATCTAAATTGAGACTGATGAATGAGGAAAGGAAGAGTTAAACAAAATGAAAACTTAAATTATAACATTTATCGTTAACGATAAAAGGAGAAAAAAAGTTCTTGTGAGGCAGGGTTGACAACATGGAAATGACCATTCATGGGTGGCGTCTCCTCTTCAAATAATTTGATTTGAAAGAAAAAAAAGGTCGAAATGGCTAAGAGTGATTATTGTGTAATCAACTGATAGTGTAAAAGGTCATTTCAGTGCTCAAGGTTGCTTTTCTTTCTTAATTAGGTCAAGACAGTTTTGTCCATTGGCAGACGACATCATTTTGACCATCCTTTGTTATTTATCATATCCTTTCATATTTAGAATTTTTCTTTTATATATTGGCCAGTGTGTCATCATCAACATCTTCATATGTTCATAGCTATAGCTTGAAGAATAGATGACAATTTCATAAACAGATGAAGTTAATGAAGGCGGAAGGATTGGAAAAGGCATTTTGTCCATAATTGGCCTTGACAGAAAGTTCTGAAATGACCCTAACACTAACCGTCTCCTATTAAAACGATAAGACCATTTATCAATGAAAATTCTTTTCATTTTTATGCTAATGAGTTGGTTCACGTAAATCTCAGGTGGCTTTTCTCATTTTCATTGCATTTTGCACTCAACCGGTTGTATATACCCATAGCTTTTTGATCTTCACCAACTCCCCTAATAACAATATAGTTTACAAACAATTTTATTTCCTAAAAAAATATTTTGAAACAAAAACTTCTCTGTCAAAAAAAAAAGTAAAAGGATTACATTAGCATAACGTGTTAGAAACAAAAAAAGAGGTTGTGTGGTAGGAGAAAAATGAATGAAAACAGTCATTTCCACGTGTTTCACGTGAAGCTACTTCACGCAAATTTTCATTTCTCAATGAATTTACTTGTGTCATGGTTGTTCACAAAGATTCAGTAAAGCTGAAGAAGTATGAAGAATTCCTTAAACGTCACATGATTATCAACAACTCGCTGAATGACCAACAAGTTTAATTTTTCGTCTCTATCGATATAATATTTCTCATTAATCAGATTGATTATAAGATTGAAGATCTACTAGAGCTATGTCAGGATGCTTTGGACGTCATCAAGAGAGATGAAATGCTGGCAACGATCAGCCCACCAGTTGTTGTCGTCGGTGATATTCACGGCCAGGTAGACTGAGCTTTTCTCTTCAAAGTTTTATTGGTTTTACTATTTAAGTATTTCGATTTATTGCGTTTATTTTCGTTATTCAATCAGAATAGTATTCATGGAGTATTCACGATGAAAGTGAGTTTCGCCTTAATGGAATCATTCAAATATGATTTCAGTATGTTTTTCTTGGTGATTATGTAGACAGAGGAAGTCGTTCACTCGAATGCATTTCATTATTATTTACTCTGAAAATACTTTTTCCTACTAAGGTTTCTTTATTTATATCTTTCTGATATGTTTTTTCTGCTTTTTAAAGTATTTGCTAGTTCGAGGAAATCACGAAACACGAAATGTTAATCGATTTTATGGCTTTTACGATGAAGTTTTGAGCCGATTTACGGATGAAGTACACATATCAGATTAACTGCTTGTCTTATATCTAATTCAGAACAAAGCTCGAACTATCTGGTTAGCTTTTAACGAAGTCTTCGATTGGATGCCCATTGCTGGATTGATTGGAAAGAAAATTCTGTGTATGCACGGTGGCATTTCATCTGAGTTAAACTCACTACAAGATATCCGAAAAGTACCTTCTCGTACTCTGTACTGTAATCATTATGCCATTTTATAGCTTCAACGACCATTAGAGGACCCCAACACCAATAATCTTGCTTTGGACATTCTTTGGGCTGATCCAGCTCCAAACTACAAAGGGTTCATAATTCATTTGATATTATTATTGACTCTCTCTCTCTTTCTCTCTTCAATTAGGTTTGGTAAAAATTTGAACCGAGGAATATCATGTGTGTTTGGAGATGATGTAGTTAAGGAGATCTGCAAGAAGTTGAAAATCAGTTTAATTGTTAGAGCTCATCAGGTGAATAGAATGATGTTTCATTCTCAATCGTTATGGCAATTCAGGTAATGATGGGAGGGTACTCGTTTTTTGCTCAAAAACATTTGGTTACAATTTTTTCGGCTCCTCGATATCAGTCTGAGGTTTCATTTCTTTTTTTTTCTTGTTGTGCATCATTGTTAATAATAATTAGTGGAACAGAGCTGCTGTCATGGTCATAAATAAGGATGGAAAGTACAAGTTCAAACTTTTGAATCCAATTGATACCTTGACAAAAGAAGGATCAAAATTATTGATTACTCAAGCAGATTCCACTCCCACGGCATCACTCAATCTCACACAAACTCAAAATTCCTCTTCAAGTCAAACGAAAGAGAAATGAAATCGGGTATTTGAATAGCTTTTACTAATTTAAAACTGACTTTATCAATAAATAATCTTTATAATTTCTATTTTTGCTCATAAATAACATTGTTGGGAGAAGGGAGAACAAAACAGCCATTTGTGCGTTGGTTTAAATGACGAATATCCTTATTTGTAACTCATTCACCCTGGCGTGCCAGAACGTTTCACTTGAGATTTTTGATTCTAATTCAAAAAGGTAATGAAGTTTCCCATAATTTTATGTTTTATTGAATTTTCTACCAATTTGTAACCGCCAATTGACAGATAATCATAAGGTTCGCGACTACGTTTGTCTCTTAGTTAAACTACCGTCTGTGTCTTCTTACCAGTTAAGCGATTTTGCTTCTTCAGACATCAGTATGGCCGTCTTTGACTGCTCTTTCGACCCACATCCAACTTTTTATATATATACGATGTATATTATTGGTATGATTGTACTCCCCTTTAATATGTTCGGCACATATTGTGTCGTTAAGAAGGTTCGACTACCATAATTCGCCAAAGCACCCTACCTATAATTTTTGTTTAGACACCCGCTCATTTGGCTGATTATAAAAGAACACTACTTTACTATCAATTATGCGTTTCGATATCGGATTTCTTTATAGCATTTGTTTTCACGCCTGTCCTTTTCGTTCCTTTTCCAATACACTATTCAGCTGGTATTACAAGCTTGTTCAGTTTCGAACCTATAGTAAGTTGCGCTTCCCAAATTCGTTTACTTTCCTGATTTCAGATTTGCCTAGTAGGATGTATGTTTTGTCTTCTTCAATCCTTTTCTGCCACTCTCCATCTATTTCATTACCGTCTGATGGTAATACTTCCTCCTAACAGCATATTCCGAGTTATTCTAGCTCCTTTCTGATGTTCAATTATCTTTTTATTTTCAGTGGCAACGTCCGACTACTTTTTGTTTTCGCGTCTTCTCCAGCGTTCTGGTTGTTTCTCCCATAGTGATTATTCCCATTACTTACCAGCATACAGATTTGACAGTTTATGGAGCGACGATTCGACAAGTACCTTTCCTTCAATACTTGATAAACTGTTGCTTTTCCTGCTTACAGCAATATCAATGTGTTGACCATGTTATGTCACACTCAAGAGCTCGTGTTAGTGATCCAAGCTTGAATAGACTGGTCCATCTTTATATAGGAGGCATGGGTGAGAACAAAAAACGAATTTCGTTCTGAAAGTGAAATTCTATTGAGGTGTAACCCTGTGGTTCGTGTCTGCCTGCATGGCTTTTACGACATATTGGATAATGAGAAGGATGAAAGCAATATCTGAAAAAACTCATCACTTGCAGCAAAAATTCCAGCTCGTTCTAATGATTCAAGTAAGATTAGAGCACAAACGTTCCACGAAATAAGAATATCAGGCGGTCTTTCCAATTATTGTTATCGGCATCCCAGGATGGATAATGATTGGTTTGTATGCTACAGATCGCTTCGCACCCCAATGTAAACGTCGAACTAATTATGGGAATATAAGAGTAATTACAGGGTTAGGTCTTCTCTTCATGCTATCACTCTCTATCCATGGCTTCGTCGGCAATGTAATAATGGTTCTATTTAACTCTGATTATTACCGTTTCGCCAAAAAATCGCTTTCAAGCTTGACAAAATGGAAAATAAATGATTCCAGCTCCAATAACTCTGAGTGATTTGTGCTTGAAATAATATATTATTAAGCAATTTCATATAAAATGTACATTATTTTTATTTTATCTCCTCACTGTTTCTATCTAATGGCACGGAGTGCCAGTTTCTTCTCATTCACTCCAAACTCTACCGAAATGTTTGATAACGCTCTAAACCCTGTGACCCATTGTGATGAATTGGACCCTGAGCCAACTTACTTTTTAATTACTATGACTTTATTAGGAATTGTGGGTTGTTTCATCAACATATCAACCATTTTTTGTGTTTACCACAAGGTGCCTCCTCTTTCTCGTTATTGATCATATTTCATTTTGGTTCAGACAAATCGTAAAATGAAGGATTACAAGGCTATTGTTATATTTTATCAAGTAACTGTCTCAATAAACGATTTCATTCTGACGTTCATAATACGTCCGATTCTCTTTTCTCCTTTACCATTTTGTATAATAACTGGAGTAGGAAAATACTTAACTTTTCCAAAGAGGGTTCATCTGTTTCTCAGCTTTATTCCAAAACGGCTCACGTTTTCAGTTTTGGTTAACTCTGATGCTGTCGTTATTAGTAGCGTCCTCAGCTAGCATAACTGGACTGTTTCACTATAGATTAAATATAATTATCTTTGATAATGGAGTTATTTTTCTTATTTTTTCTTTACCTTTACTAGTTTTTGCAGATTAAACGTATAGCTAGAAGTATCATTTTGAGAGTTATTTTCGCATTCCTACTTTCTGTTCCCATCATCGCTATCGCCATTTTCTTCAAATCAAGTCTACCTTACGAGGTTGTCCTTCAGAAATATTTTGACGTGAGTGCTTTCCTGTGTTTTGATGCCAAACAGTTGTATTCCAGGTCTACAATTGCACTGTTGTGCTCTATACATATCAAGGGTTTCTTATGATAGATAGAGAGTTTGCAGCCGCAGCTTCACGCTTCGGCCTAGTAGAAAGTTGAGGTTCTTATATCTACTCCCATCATTCATTTTGCTTAGGCGTAGTGCTTGTGATAGTTTCTATGATTATGGCTATAGTTACTTATTTTAAAATTGCATCTAATAAAAATATATTCTCTCACAATACCATGCGTCTGCAAAAGAAATTCCAAATCACACTTATCTGCCAGGTGATTTGGATAGTGAAGACAATTCTCCGCTGCAGAACATGTGGAACGGTTCTGTGATATTCGTACTTTCAGATTTTTTTGCCTCTCAGTGTTGTCATCTTGCCCAATGTAATATTTAATATTATCGGAACGTACTCAACTATTTCACAGCAGGGTAACTATTCTGTAATTGAACCTTTAAACTTATATATACAGAACTATCCAACCTGTTGGTAGCTATGATCTCTAGTCATGGTATGATATTCAACATTAGCTTAGTCCTCCAGAACAAGGAGTACCTCGACTATTCTAGAGAGAAAATATCCGCTTTGTGTCCTTTCCGTCGCATATCAGAGTCTACCTCAGTATCAGTATTGCTGAAGCATTGAGTTTCAAGTTTGTATAAATAAAACCTTAATGTCCCTATTTAACGAATAATGATGAAGTAAAATAATACATTATATGTAATCCAGTAGGTTTATTCATTCATAACGTCACAATCATTTTGCAATTTTTCATCCAATTGCGGCGGTAGGGCAAAATTAGAATCTACCAACGGTAGTTCCTTCAGTAAATTTCCTCTGTCTGCATTAGACAGGTACCTTCCCGCTGCCATCAACTCAAACCGCGCAAGTATCTTATGAGGAACCGATACTCGGGTTCTCTGAGTGGGTCCTGGTGTGTCTGGCAACGCCTATTTCTACTATGTCATCATCATCTTCATTATCAGAAGATTTTTTTTGAGTATAAGAATTAATTTTATTTTTATAATAGATAAAAATAAAAGCGAATAGGAGCTAAATATAGCTCACCGTCTACGACGGTCACAAAAGAATGACTGAAGATAGGTGTCGTAAGTTGGACGTAAAGGTCTATGAGTACCTCGGGTGCTACACGTGAAACTTACGACGAAAATTCTGCGAAATGATTGTGACGTCACGAATGAATAAACCTACTGGATGACATATAATTATTTATTTTGTAATGAAGGTTAGTTAATTCTATTTCATACACGAAGAACAATTGTAAATTCATTTGCAATATAAGGCATCGTTATTGAACATAGAGCTACAGCACTGCTAATGTACTCTGGTGAATAAAAAACTGAATTATATACAATTCTCTATGCATACTAGCAGTATTAAAGTAATGAGAGAACTGGATAGTTAATTAATAATCCTCAAGCGAAAAATTAAAATACGTGAAAAGTATGAGTAAAAAAGGACGATTATCAAAACCCCTTAAATCTGAAACTCTGGTGGTCTATTTTGGCTGTTGCTCGCAGAGCCTGAACCGTTTGCCTGAAATTTACAAGAATATTAATATGAACAGATTGGATGGAACGTACTCTTAAACTTTGAATGCTTTGCCGGCTGTTTTCTGGGGAAAGTCTAACAGCCATTGCCTTTGTGTATTTCAGTTTGTCAAGTAGGGGCTTGGAGCAGCCATTTCGCTCCAAGTGAGATAGTTTATAGACATGGAAATTCTTGTGTTCATCAATGTATGACACAGCTCCCATAAGGGGACAGATCATTATTTTGGTGTGATCCTGAAGAGAACAACTGCTGATAAAAACTGATAAACAATCTTACATCAAAATAGTTAATCTGTAATGTTCCGTTCGATAGGTGAAGAACAATGGCGGACCGTGTTCGGAACCAATGGCGCAAAACGGGCAAACGAGCAAGATCATCTCCATCCTAAAATTTCACCATGCTGACACCAGGATTTCAATGAACTACCTTCTTGACAGCGTTTGCTCCTGCCTTCAGCAGATGTTCATTCATGTAAGCTCGGAAATACTTGAGCAACGTAACCTTCTTGCTCAAATCAGGTGGGAATCTTTCCATTGTATAATAATGTTCTTGATCTGATTTTTCTATGTAAGTAAGTTCATTTCCGGCTTCATCCAAAACAAGTTTGCTGCTGTCGTTGAAGAGGACTCCAACCTAAAGTAGCAATGTCAGATAATTTCCTGATAGTGCACTAACTGAGTTATCGCACAATTGATATCCAATACCATATTTATCGGAATAATCCACCCATTTAGAGATCCAGAAGATGGGTGTTGCTTCTGGGGATTCGTCTTCTCTGAGAAGATCAACCTAAAATAGATAATACACAAGGGAAGCAGTAGGTAAAACTCACAAATCCAACCCGACCACTGCATAGTGGAGTAAGTTGTTGGATAAGATCACTAAGGTAGCAGTCCTTAGGAGGAGCATCACCAGCTCCGGCATCCTTATCAACTTCCATAGCATTATTCTCAGGTACAGTGTTGAGAGCCCTGGTTCCAGCCATAAGATCTTTCCTACAAAAACACTTTGCTATCTCGAGAAACGCGTTAATTCTACGCACCTGACAATTTGTTTGGGACTGAGAACTTTGGATGGAGATGTTCGCATATGATCAGCGTTTGCAAGGGGTATTCTTTCTTTGAGCTCGTCTGCGTTGAACTTTGGAGCCATAGACAGGCAAGAAGTAGGGAGGCGTTTTGGCAAAAATCCCGCAGTGAAGAAAGCATGTTTAAGAACCTAGGGACTCTGTTCTTCAAAGTCATTGAAATCTGCTAACCTCTTTGACAGTTGGGCGTTTTTCAGGGTCGGCAGCAAGCAGATTTCGGATGAGATTGGATGAACGGGAACTGGCACTAGGAGGAATAGTGTATTGATTCATTTTGATCCTATTGTAGGTATCCTACAACACAGAAAAATAAAAAAATCAGTTATTTGTTACCGCTGAACCTTTAAAGTTTGAGTTTCGAAAGGAGGTTTACCGAAAAGTAATGTATAAAGAATACAGCCAACTGCCCATATGTCTACCTCGAACGAATGACCTTTTTTGTCTAAAACTTCGGCTAAAACATAACAGAAATGAAACTAAGGAAACTCGAAACGAAACAAACGAGCTATATAGTTAGGGGTTCCACAAAGTGTTTTCTTTCTTTCTCCCTCTCGATCAACTGTAGTAGCAAGACCGAAATCACCAATTTTGACCTGTACGGTCATTAGAAACAAACTTAAAATATTAAGCAAACCTGGAGTTCGTCATTTAAAAACAAGTTTCCTAATTTCAAATCACGATGAATAATTTTACGATCATGTAAGTAGTCGATGGCCAGGCAAACCTTGAACGTGACCAGATGAGAATTACAAGGAAAGACGCTTTACCTGGTGGGTAAAGTAACGAGCCTCGGGCTCCGTAACAGCTTTTCTACGCTTGTGTAACTCCATGAGAGATCGTCTGGCACATAATTCCAGGGTAATATACACATTATCTATATCTTCGAAACAATGAAAGAGTTTCACCACATGAGCATGGTTAAGTGGCTTATGGATTTGTACCTCTTGGGTCATCTTAAGACTCCTACATTCAAAAAAACGAAACAAAACAAGCAAACCTTCTCTCTTTGATAAGATTTTTGGAGCAGCATCTTGGAGACTATTTTTCCAGCGAAAATTTCACTTGTTTGGGCATTCTTCAACTCGTAACAACGAGCAAATCCTCCTTTTCCTAAGAATTTTCCTCTAATATAGGTAACATTTTTTGAGCGATCAAAAATATGTTCCGGGACTTCTTTCAGTTGCTCCTTTTTCTTATCCATACTGAAAACTTTCAACAAAATGCAATGATATCTCAGAGAAATAGAAAGAGCTGACTGGTTAGCGCACAAGAAATCTTCAAAGGCAGAGGTACATTTCCAGAAAATGAGAACAAAGTTATAAATAACGCAAAACAGCTTTTATAATCTTCTAAATTTATTCTAAATAAGGATATTTCGTTTCAAATCTACAGAAATATGAAGAACTGAACAAATGATAAAAGGAAGAATACTGAGCATAACGTTTGAAAATGTTGTTTTCGCGCGGGAACTGGAACGCAATTCCACGTACATCAATTCAGGGCGTGGGAACGAAAATGTCTGCAAACTTATGAGATCTGTAATCTTTTTAACTGATTTATGATAATTTGAAGCTTGAAGCTCATAATCCTGAGGTAAAATAGTATAAATGTGGTCATTGTAATAGCTTTTGCTGTCTAGAAATTGAAATATAGTGTTTTCTGGTCCAATTTGTACTCTTTAGTTGAATGGCAAACAGTAGCATATGGTATCACGTAAGAAGGAGGTTTCCTGTCTACTTCTGGCCTGTTTTCGCAGCCGGTATTCCTTAACTTTGAGATTGATGATTGATTATCTTTTGAAGGTTTAATTTTTGTGGATTGGAATCATACAAGACAGTGGAAAGCAAGCGGAAAAAAATCAGTACTGGACAAAGAAATTTTCGGAAAAGATCAATAGACCATTTACAATAGCTTTTAGAAACACAATAATTAGAATGTTTATAAGAAATATTTATTAATCATCAATCTTCTATAATATTGCAACAACGGTTGTCAATCCGTTCCTATCTTACGTCTGAATTGTTGACCGAATTATCGTTTCTTCTTAGATGTTCTGATTGCAATATCGAAATGAAGTGGTACTGCTTCCTTTTCTGGTTCTTTTTCAGACTCACGTTAGCATGCTTAGCTCATTTCAACTGGTTTGTTTCTTGAAACTGATGTCTTTTATACTTTTTCTTCAGGGCTATGGCCGTTTATACAAATTGTATCTATTTCCCTTTATGGAAGAGTTATGATTTGCTGTGGTTCTGGATGCATCTCATACTTTGCACTTGTTTCCCCCAGTTAAGACCTGAGAACTTCCTCATAGGTTGAGAGAATCCTTTTCGTGTTTTTATCTTGTGTTTTAGTATGGACCAATATGATTTTCAAAAAGTTAACGAAGTATCCGAATATGAGTTTTAAGGTTTACTTTCTGTCTCATTTGATAGTCTTAGCGTCAATTTCAGCAAATTTATTTAACATTGTATGGAAGTTCTAAGTATACAAAAGCCGAAATGAGTCTTCAGCGAATGGAAACCGTAGAAAGGAAAGAAAGAGAAAGTAGACGATTAAGGAAAAGTAATTAAGCAGATAGTGTTCGTGTTCACAGTTTCTCTAATTACAGTTACCGAGGGACACTCATCCAGTGAAGAAGAGGACAATAATAGTGATGTTCGAACGAAGTTAGTTTCTTTTTCATACACTTGTCTCATGTTTTCATAGTGTTGAATCAAAAATACCCGAAATCAACATAGAGGAGAATAACAGCGAAGACGAATTAATGGGGAACAACGATGGTAATTGCAATTTCGTGCTACTTATGACGCATTGAGTTCTTCCAGAATCTGTGCCGGTTGCTCCTCCCAGGAAAAACCAACGCGTGGGCCAATCTACTGTTAGTTATAGTAAGTTGTCCTGTAGTAATGCTTCTAAAGTTTGTATAGGTAAAGATAACTCGTCCAATGGACAAGACAAAGTATCAATTGATGTTTCACCGGAAAACGGTAAAGTGTTAAAAGAACTCCATTCAACATCGGATTATGTCTTTCAGAATCTGAAGAAAGTGGAAACGAATCTGATTCTAGCACTAGTAAATGGATCAAAAGAGTTCCAGATGTTATTAGGAATCGGTAGTATATCTGAATAACTATTATACTAATCATCTACAGATTCCGAAAAACGCCAAGTTCTCCCGATGCGTCCAAGCTTTCAGCCGGAGAAAATATTGTAAACTCAAGCAACATAATTTTTCATGAACATTAATTTAGGATACCGTAAGCGTATCAACGTGGACTAAGATTAAAGGAATTGTTCCCAATCCGTTGAAGTTCAACAGATCCTCGAGCAGCGACTCCGCACCGAATGGTTGCATTCCAAACTCTTTTTTCCACTGATTGACTAGTTTAGAAATATATGTTTTGAGACCAGATTTTACGAATACTTTTGATTGTTTGGATCCAATAAAAGCGGCACAGCGAGCTAAGCGGGACAGGAAAGAGTTGATTAAGAAGGTACGCGCGAGAGTTAAAGCCGAACTCAAAGTCGCAGCCGAGAAGGAGAAGAGGTCAGTAGTCGTTAGCTTTTTCGTGTTAATTACTGATGCTTCAGAAGAAAAAAAGTGACTGATTCCATCGAATTGTTGTTGCAGTTGCTTAGAATGATTGCTTCTTTCATGATTCTGGTGTGTACAACTTTTTTAAATATGATAATCTTATTTTTGAGGTCGGAAATATACGCAAAACATTTATCCCTGCTCAATTCCGTTATTTGAAACCCGGCCAGCATCCATATGATAATTATGAACTATTACTGATCTTTAGGTTTTTGAACATTTTGGTTATTTGTCCATGTGTATTACGAATTTCAGAGTCACCACGTTCTTGGATATTTCCATGTTCTGGACAAACATCATGTGGGTCTACTGTTTGCAATGGCATCTTTGCATTAGGCTTGGATTCTGCCGCTTCTGGGCTTGGTTATCGCTGCTTGCTACCGTAAGATTTTTCAATTGTAGTTATCGTCGTAAAAACTTCGCATTACTAGATTGCCTTATTAGTTATGATCATCCCGATGGCGTATGCTATGGACCAAATGGATTTAAGTTGGTGTGTCTTTGTGCCCGAAAGTCCTCTTCACAAATATCAGCCTACGTGGTGATTGTACTTGCCTTACTCATTTCATAATAATATCGATAGTAATAATGCAATAGCATAAGGGAGATTCATTTGTGGTGCTTGTAACGTGAAACGTTGTAAATCAAAAGTTTTTATTTGTACATATAAATCTTCTATTTTACATAAATATATTATAAACTCTCTCACGTTTAATTGACCATGTGACCGATTCCTCCTCGATTAGAAAGAGCTTTGTTAAAATAAACTGGTCTCCTCATATGTGACAACGTTTTTAAATCCATAATTGGCGAAACACCACAGTTCTATTAACGAAATTTTGAATATCTAATTGACTTCGTTTTTTGTACCTTGGGCTCTATAGGATCCTCTCGTGGATGAAGAGCTGGCCCTGCTGATTTCTCTCTTACTAATTTTTTTTTGACTCCACCCCTAGAGAATGAAAGTGAAAATTTGTATACTAAAAAATATACTTCGAGCGAGAATGTCCTTCCTTTTCGTTCTGAAGAAATCGGCCTGCGCGCTGCTCTGACCTCGACCGATCTCGCAAAGCAGGTGATCCACACGAACTTGAGCTAGATGTTTCGTTAACCTTAAGTTATTTTTGATATTTCAGAAAAGGCTGTCCCTACTGCAGAAAACACATATGACCCATTGTCACTATCATCTTGGCGGTTCAAATCTCTCGTGCAAAGTTCATAGAAATGATCTTCCCTATTGACTGATTTTGATCGTGACCACCTGGTTGACGCAGAAGGAGGTGGAGAAGGAGCTTTCATAGACTGAATACATGAGTTATTCAAAAGCATAGGAGAGAGATTTATCATACCGGTTGTGAAATACTTGAAGATGTGGAAGGATTAGACCTCAATGAGTTTGCCGAAATCATTGACATCATTTCCACTGCTATCACATGTATCAAACAAATCCATAAAGGAGTTTCAAGTGGCGGTGTAGAGGTATTGAACTTAAAGATTTTCATAAATGTTAAATTAAAAAATAAACGGGACATCTTGAATAAGGAAATGAATGCAACCGGTCTCCGCGTAACAAAAGCTCTACATGAGATTCAAAATCTATAGCAATTTTATGCTAATCAAGGCTCGCTTCGAAGCAGATTTTAATAGCCTTTTTTTGAACAATAAGAGGATAGAATGGAATACCTGAATCCTCATTATGGCTTTTCGTTTAAGTCTGTACGAATCCGCAGCTAGAGGGCCTGATAATGACTCTTTGAAACGTCTCAAATCGAAGATCTAAAACAACAAACAAAATTGGATCAACGGAAATAGCTTCTTACTTTCTCTTTCCGCTTATCAATCACATAGTTGACACCTTGACTACTGACTATTATTTTCTTTTCCGAGTTATTTGTTAAATGAACATTGCCAAAAGTATCCAGCGACAATTCAAGACCCTTAAAACAAGTTTTTTTTCAAAACATCTTCGGAACTGATTTTGAACTTTTCCCATTGTTAATATCATCATTTCGGTTGCCGGGTCTCGGTAAGGATTTCTGAATCTCCTAAGTCCTATTCTGAATTTAGGCAAATCGTAAGTTATCTCAAAACTGTTTCTTACCTGTATCCATCAAACTCATGTGTAGATCCATCCATAATAAGACTTTGCGATCTGATATAAGCCTTAAGAAAAGTATAATCATTTGCATACTACGAAGAACCAACCTTTGCCGTTCTCGTTCCTTTCTCCATTACTATCAGCTTAGCCCAGATCTCATTGTCAATGTCATGAATTTTGTTATCCACTTCCATCAAATTATCCTTTTTTCTCGTTATTATGTTTTTTTCGTAAAATTGAAAACCTCTTCAAATCTATCCATATCAGTCCAATTGGCAATCATTCTGAGTTCCCGGCTACTGCTTGAAGTCGAAGCTGGTTCGCTAAGCATTCTATCGATGAGTTCTGATCGTAGCACCATTCTTATTCAAATGTCACATAAAATATTCTGTAACATGAATATTACTATCGGAAGGGTATTTCGATATATATTATAACAAAAATAGGAATCTTTTTGCAGAACCTGTCTCTACAACAGCACTATGAAGTTAGTTATTTAGAGATATTTTATAAATAATGAGAAGATGTATGAGAAACTATGTGGTATGTAGCTTTCATATATGAGAACTTCAGGTTTATGTGAAGAAGATGCGAAAGTAGAGTAAAGAAGTCACACAGCTGAGAATGAATTCAGGCTGAATCTCCGGAAATATCGAAGAATACAGAAGAGAGACAGAACAATTAAATGATGCAAGGACAGACAATTGAGGTTCCTACCACTCGTTGATCTCGATTCCTCTCGTCAACCTCCTTAGAAGGTAGTTCTTTCTCTTTTTTTCTTTCTGTTTTGCCTCATCTTAAGTGACAACTTATGAGTTGAAAAAAAAGTTTTACAATTTCTTTTGTCAATTGGTAGAAAAAGAAGCTTCTCATGTAATGATTTGGTTGAACTATGAACATGACTTCATATAAGTCAAGTAGGAAAACGAAAATATAAGAAATTGAAAAATAACACATTGCTGTTGTAGGCATTTTAAGTTTGAAACTTGCGAAGAGAAACGATTTTGAATTGAAGAATGTAAGGAGAGATGAAAAGCTTCTCCAATCATAGAAATTATTGAAAAGCGAATGGTAAAATTCTGGATATGCTTACGTGCCCTGAGGCGACCGTTCAAATGCGAAACTAGTCATAAGGTAGATGGTTCACAGAAGAAGGAATAGAAGAAGAAGAGAAAGGACAATTAAGAAGAGAATTCTCCTGTCTCTTTCCTTTTCAGAAATATCCATGCTGTATACTCAGCAGGTTGTGAACAAAATAGTTCTTTAATGGATGACTGCATAGCTTCATGTAAATATCTGAAAGAAAAAAAGGATTTTTTCAAGTTCTGCTTGATCAGATTCTTTCATACTTAGGGACACACAACTTCCATTTGGAGAACAAATGATGCAAAAGGATATACAAATCTGTGACTTTCTATGTACTTTTTCCCATCTTCACAAGTAAACTAAGAAGTAGCCGACATCAACGGAAAGGTGAAACCAGTTGTTAAGCAAGAGATAGTCTTGTTACGACTATTCGCCCAATGCCCATCTTATAAAAAGAATCAAAAATTAAAAAAAAGTGAGAGAGAATTATAGAGAAAACGTGTAATCGATAGAGAGTCGATGAATTGAGTGAGAAAGAGAGATAGAGAGATAGCAAAGGAGAGAGAGAAGGTAAGTAAGGAAGGAAAAGTGAGAAATACTTGATTAATTTTCATTTTTTTTTCTCTTTCCATTGCTCTAAATTTCTAACTCGCTGCTGATCTTTTCATCTTCAATGATCAATTTCCTTCTATTGTCTTCCGTGTTGACATTGAAAACTTTTTAAAATTTCCTTCTACGTCCTATCGATTTTCTATCCTCCTTCAAATGATTCATTTTCATTTATATTCAAAAATTTGAGTGTTTTAGTAACATATTGTACTATACAGTCATCAATTTGTGAACATCGTTGTTAACATTCCATTGTTGTAGTTTACTCCCTGCCGTATGATTCACAACTGTCGAAATTTTTCGTTAATTTCTCTCACATTTGAGAATTTGATTTGAATCTTAAGACTCTTGTGGCTAGTTTTCTTTTTGTTTTTACCTTTTTTCTCTTTACAGAAACTTTAATTGTTGGTATAAACATGGATCGACCAAATCCATCGGGAGGCTTCCAAGCTTTTCCTCATTTTGATGAAAAATACAAATGTTGTTGTGGATCTGTCCATGTAAAGGTTGGTTTGTGATACAAGCTTACCTCTAAAGCCCTAAATTGTTTAGCAAGGCACATATATGATTGGCATTCTGTCTGCAATTCAGTTGTTTTTCGTTGTTGTGTCTGCCATCTTCTCGCACGAATCCGTAGGAATCGTCGTTGCTGACGTAAGATTTTTATTTCCGGTTGTTTTTTGTACTCAAGAAAACGGTTTTGTAGTATGGACTGAGTGCTATAAAGCTGTTCTGTCTCGTCTTCCTGTTTCTCGGATTGAGAAAAAATAGAAAAAAATATATTATACCATTCGCCGTACACGAGGTTTCAATTTCATATTCATCCTCAACCTAATCATTCATATGAATTAGACTTGTTGTGTAATTGTTTACATTGTTGGTGTTGGATTATGTCTTTGGGCGGCTGTTGAGCCCCAAAGTCGGGTAGCTGGGTACATGAAGGTACAAATTATGCTAATTTTGTTTCCTAACTTGCTTTTTTAGTCGTTTATTGACCCACAAGATCGTTTAACCGATTCAACTGCTGAAGATTCTAATCTTGATTTACGTAAGTCTTTTTTCTGAGAAAATGATGAAAAGGGGAAATAGAAAAAGAAGATGATTGAAAATATGAATTTCAGCAATTCGTTTGATGGCGACCATGCTCATAACAGCTTTGATACTCTCGATCTTGATATCATTGTGGCTCTTGAAAGTGATTTATAAGTAATCTTAAAGAAATTGAAATGGAATTGAATGACCATCATTTCAGATGCTATGCTTATCTCGCCGATTTGGATGATTACCATAAGCAGATTGATGGAAGGTTCCATTCAAGTTGTGCTTGAATAACAACAAAAAATATTCAACCCTTGTGATTGATTTCAATTATTATCTTGAAAAAAACTTTTATTGTTGTTTATTATGAAATCGATCTCAAATAAATTTATTTCGAACTGTGTTCAGAGACATAACTTGTTATACAGTTTTCTATACAGTAGTTCATTCCTTAGTATTCTCAGAAAAGAATTGGTTAAGCTCTGCTACGGCATCAGCATTCTCCTTCTCCCAAGATATCAAACCTTGCAGTTGCACCAACTAAAGTCCAAAGTTAGTACAAAGTAGTTTGGGAAACAGTACCGTTTTTTCTTTGCCCTGTTTATCAGCCACCACTCTCGAAGCCATCAATACTGTTCTTGGTATTGCTTGTGTCAAACTGCCCAAACGGTCGTATGATTCTTTCAAGAATTCCGAAACCTGAAGTGAACTCATTCGTGTACTCAATACGTCATATTTCACGTGCACTCATGTCATTTCTTCTCATTTACACGCTGAGACCGGTTGTATTTACCTCTTTGTCTTCAACTTGATTCTCGAATGTGGTTAACATCTCTTCATTCATTCGTTGCAATAAATCCAATTTTTTTTTAAGTTCTTTCACGACCTGTTGATACTTCTGTTTAATCTGAAAGTGTAACATATGAAGTAGTTTAAGAATCTCTCTATTACTCACCTCTTTGTTTCCGAGTTTCTTTGTGAAGTCTTGCAGAGTTTTGAGCTGTTCGTGCATGGTTTGATCTCCTGACAGTCTCATAATAACCTTCAGAAAAACATTTCTAAAAACTATTGTTGAACAACAGTTACCTCATTTTGCTTAGGAGGAGGAAGGATGTCACTGAACTTTTGGGCAAAGAATCGATCTGAAAGTTTCGGAACCTGCGAGAAGGATTATATGATATAAGGATGCAAATGGAATAGATACCTCTAAGGCTGAAGATAAGATGAATGGGAAAGTTAGCAGAATAAAGGCTGTTTGAATCATTTGAATAACAGTATTCCTAAAAGAGAGTTTAACCGAGAGTTTTGTTTTTACAACTTTTCATATTTTCCGTTTGGAAACAAAAAAAATGAGATGAACCGGTTGGATAAATGTGAGAACAGTTAGTTGATTGACGATTATTCAATAATATCCTTTATAATAATCAAAAATCTGACGAATTAATACACGAATACGGTTTTTTCGATGAGAGAAAAATTCATTTTTTTTAGCAAAAAAAATTGACAAAATAGATAAGAATTATGGGTTAACGATATCATATAAATGGCTTTTTTCAATTTATAATTATTATCAGTTATGGCTTAGAATCGTAGAGAAACTTCATCAGCTTTGATGAAGCTTTTGGCGCCAATTCCATTCAGAATGATATCTTTATCTTCTAAACGTTGATCGTTTTCGTAATGATTGTAGATGTATGTAGGAATGTTCTAAATTCACATCTCCTTACTATCTCAATTGCTACTCACCGGAGATTCTCGACGAAGAAGTAGAGGAGCCAATACTTGAATGAGCAATTGCCCAATTGGGGCAGTCAGGAAAATCGTAATGATGGCTGTCGTCACAATCTGAAAAAAATGTTTTCCTTAATTGTGGTAATTTGGTTAAACCGCGTTTAATTGATCTCCCATCTCTGGGAAAAGAGCAATATATCCTAAGAGAGAAGGTCCTAGAGCAGCCTTAATATATATTTTTGAATATGGACAACTTCATCTTTCAAAGTTACTTGAACTGTTGCTTTGGGCAACATGGAGAAAGCCACAAACAAACTTTCTTTAACATTCAAAGAGAAAAGCGATAAAACCAAAGTTGACAGGAAGCGAGCCACTTGCCCAATCCCTATTAAAGCCAGTGACCACAAAACGGTCGATTTTTCCAACTGAAAAATCAATTCATATGTGAAAGCCGGCAGACAAACAGTCCTACATTCTCCAAATCCAGTCTCATTCCAATGGAGGAAAATAATAGAGGGAGGAACAGTAATGCCCACAAGTTCTCAGCAATATTCTCTTGTGTTTTTGTCTTAAATATTCAAACATGAGATCCGACTAAATTTCAATAAAGTTACTCCACGATCATTGTCCACTTTCCATCTACATGACGCCACAAAGCTCAAAAGCAAGCTACTAATGATTCCAGTGCAGGTCCATCTGACTGCGTTGAACCCGAAGAAAGCTGCGGAAGCAGCAGCTGCGAGAATAACAGATCTAATCAGTCCACTGTTGGCGTTTGAACTCAATGGGAAAAACCATAACAAAACACCTGAAGCATATAAAGTTATGGCATCTTGAACTGGGCTGCATACCAAATGCAACTCCAGCAACAAGACCGGTGAAAATTTGCAAAATAATATGAAACAGCGTTCCTGATGGAGTATCTGGGATAGAGGAACAATTGTTGTGTTTTATTACTTTATCACAAACCTTGTGAGAATATAGAAGTCATGGCAACGGTAATGGAGAACAAACAAACAACATTATCCAGAGTGGCAGCCGCGAGTAATCCAGGAACAACCTTGTTCTACTCGTGAACTCAATTCTTTAAAATAATTTTACCTTGTTTTCTCCTCTACCATCGTTCTGTAAATCTAAGAGAACGGGTACTGTGATAGCAGGAGAGACGGCAGCCAAAAGAAATCTGCAATAGTAAATCAAAGCACGGAGGAAGAATAATGTTTCATTTCTGTATGTTCAAGCCGTAAGAGTCTTTGGCTCTGTATCACTTCGTTTGAAAGCGTTACCCTGCTAAGAACGAGATAGACAAGTCCATTCCAAAAATAAGATGGGAGGCAACTCCTATAGAAGCAGCTTCGGCAATAGGTGTGAGAATACCAACAGTCAAAGGTAAGAACTGTATATGATTAATTTACATCGCATCAAGAACACCTATACTTACAGGTCTTCTTTTGATTTCCAACCATCTGATGCTCAATCCCCATTTGGGCATCATGCAGGATAGAGATGCAACTCGAATAAGGTTGAGCCAATTTTCATCAAAACGGAAAGTCTCGGATAACAATGGAATATTACGGAATGCGATTCCAACCAAAAGTGCACCTAAATTGTAGAGCATGAAAAGATACATGTGGATATACCACTAACCGAACAGCGGTGGAAGTCGTATAACGCTTAAGATCCAACCAAAAGCTAAAGCAGATACTAATAATACAAATACAGAAACTACATTGTTGGTCATATTCTCGGAGAACACTTCATTATCCCCGGATAAAGGATGTACTTCAAACAGTTTGTTTAAAAACAAGAATGAAAAAAGTAGGTTTACATATGTTTCTGCCGTATACGGAGCTTATCAATAAATAAAGGAAGCCCATAATAAGAATAAAAGTGATTGTAGTGTTGACCTGTGAGTGAGATAAAAAAAATGGAAATATTAATAAAAAATTTACATATTTATCTCGAATAGCTCGATGTAGCTCCGAAAAACAACTGCTGCCTTCGACTGAAGTGTCAGACTCTGTATCCTTCATCACCTTTTACCTAAAATAATAAAAAAGTGGAAGAATCAGGCACAAGTTGGAAGTTAACTTCTCCTCAAATTGAAACAGTGTGAAGTTTGTGAAACGATTATGCAAATTTTTATTTCAATTTCGAAATGTTAAGTCGATTATCATGGGTGGATGATGATGTTTTCTCTCTGTCCCTCATGCTCTCTGATTTTGCCTGCTCTCTCTCATTCCTTTTATGGAAGAATATCTTATTTTTTTCTTAAATTTTCTTATTGTATAGTTTTCTGATTTATAAAACTTTTGTTGTGTAATTGTCATAGTCAACCTGCCTGACATCAATCGATGCTTCTTCTTGTCAGCTGCTCAACTTGGCACTTTTCCTCGAGAATTCATAGAAATCCACAAATCTTCTTCTAAATTTCATTAATTTTTTCAATAAATCAGAAGATATTTCATGGCTCTTGTCAGTTATGATCTTTGACACTCTCGTCTTTACTCTTTTATTTTATTCTTTTCTATTTTCTCAAGCATACTCGTCATGTCCAACGGCAATCACTGGTCGCCCGAAATATTGTAGAAGGTAGTATAAGAAAATTAACTTCCAATTTTATCAATTATAAATAAAGAGAATGCACGACAGATGACGATTGTAAAAAACATAAAAAATGTTTGTGCGATGGTGAGTGTGGACTGAGCTGCATCAATCCGGGTAATTTCAACAAACTAATGTTCCTCAAATAGCTTTGCTTCAGCTTCAACTTGCCATTCTTTGCACGAAATCGAGAATGGCTACTTCAGAACTGCCGGAGAGCTGAGGTGCTAAAGACAGTCATTTTTATCCACCTGTTTCTATCAGATTTGGTTCGAACGCTGAATACTCTTGTGATAAAGGTTATGTCCTAATCGGACCAAGTCAAAGAAGATGTCAAGGAAATCGAGAATGGAGTGGAGCTCAACCGATTTGTAGACTTCAATGTATGTTAAAACAAATAAGAAAACCATCAACTGATCATTTACAGTAAAGTGTGGACCACCACCTGAAATCCCTTATGCCATTCATGATGGAGTTTCATATTCTGGAGAATACGATTTGGATGCTGAAGTAACGTATTCATGCGTTCCGGGGTACCACAAATTCAACTCTAAGGTATATACGTTATTCAAAGAACATACAAGATTATTTGATGAAATATCAGGGTTTGACAATTGCTAAATGTTTATTAAATCGCAAGAATATCGCTCAATGGTTCGGTCCAGAACTTAAGTGTAAAGGTAGAACACTTTCTATTGGGCTGTCAAATTCAATTGCTTCCAGCTCGATCATGTCCTGACCCCGGAAAATTGGATAATGGTTTCAGAGATGGTGAAGTTTTTGAATATCCGCATACTGTAACCTATTCGTGTGCTCCTGGCTTTCTACTCTTTGGGCCAACTACGAGAAAATGCGAAAGTAACGGAGAATGGACTGATGAGCAACCAGTTTGTAAAGGTATGCGAATTATTTTTAGTAAAAACTAGAAATTTTGAATAAATTATTACGGAAAAAAACTCATAATACAACCGCTCTATACGTAGTAAAGTATGTAAATGACACGATGCGTCATACACGCTTACGTAAAATGTTCACGTATGCAGATTTTTTAAAGGTCTGAAAGATTACAAATCAAACTTGTATATTTTAGCAACGGAGTGTCCTCGTCCTCCCGATCCTTTGTATGGAAGGGTTTTGGGAACTTCTCTCACCTACGAGTCAAAAGTTACATATGAATGCAAGGAAGGTTATAGGTATTACTCACACATCTTTACTGGTTGAAACACTTGAATTAGATTGGTCGGACAAGTTGAACGAACATGCATGGCAGAAGGCTTATGGGCGGGGCTGGAGCCGAGATGTGAAGGTAAACTTACTTGTTCTTGAAATTTAAGCTTTGTAATAGAAATAAGATGTCCTACTTTACCTTCTTTGGAGAATGGTTACATTGAAGGAGGGGAAATATTCTACGGAGCAACTGCTACATTCAGGTGTTAATGGATTTTCAAAAGTGATATTCTTTTATTTCGTTGACAGATGCCTAGAAGCAATGACTCATATAGGAGCTTCAGAGGCGAAATGCCTCGAAAATGGCCAATGGAGTCATCCAATTCCACGATGCTTAGGTTAGCCATTCTCAGAATATCAGTTACGATACCCAACCTTAAGGCTCTTGCAAAGTACCCAAAATCGAGAATGGGAAAATAAAAAATAAAATACAGGATCAATTGATACCATCAGGTCGAACACAGCTCAGTTCTCTTAGTTTATTTCATTGTCTGCAGGTAATATTGTGGAAGTAGAGTGTAATGCGAAGTATGAAGCCAACATGAAAAATAAGATGAGTTGTCATAACTCAACCTGGAGCCATGTTCCCATCTGCACTCCTCGTATGTTGTATTTTGTCTTTGGATTTTCTTGTGTACTTCTTTAGTGAATTGTCATGATTGGCCACCCCGAGTCCCCCATGCACGGATCTTATTTACTAAATCGTCCCATGGGGCTGTTGCTAAATACGAATGTAAAAGCGGGTGTGTTCTTTATACGAAGTTATTCAGATATGTTAAAAATTTTTTCTATAGATTTTACCCAAGTATTGATGCTCAACAACGCATCAAATGTTTATTCGGACAATGGACGCGAGATGGTCCACCGTTACGCTGCCTTCCAAGTACCCCTCTAGTTTTCGTTTTGCTGATATATTATTTGTTAAGCTTCTTGTGAACACCCGTCTAAAACTTTCGGAACACTGTCGGGGGGACAAATACTTCTGGAAGGACAGATGGGAGCTTACGACTTTGCCCATTACATTCAGAAGTAAGGGCGAATTCATTTATCTTCTAACTTAAACTTGAAGAGTCGAACAAGGACGGGCTATCGTTTTCCAATGCAATAAAGGAAACTATCTCATAGGTATATAAAACGAATGTTTCTATGTAACGCTCAATTTTTCAGGAGCTCCAAAAGCTTCTTGTGTTGATGGAGAGTGGATGCCTAAAGTTCGTCCCAAATGTGTCTCTCAAACACACCCCATGATCGAAGGAAGAATCACTTGGGATAGAATGAAAAGAGAAATACGAAGTATTTTTTATTCCGAACAAATGAAAGAACTTGGGATTAAAACAGTTGGCAGTAGGTTAAAAAGGGAAGTTCTTTGTCCTAATATGGAATCGGATGACGAACGAACTGTCATCTCGAACACAGATGGAAGCATAACGGTACTTCAAAAAAGCTTAAACATATCAACCGAATATTTTTTTAAGATTGTTTGTAGAGAAGGTTATGAATTTCCAGCTGATAACCTGGATGGGGATTCTGTTTGCATTCAAGGCAAATGGAGTCCAGCAGTCAGGAGATGTATTCCTAGTGAGGTTTTAAAATTCAAAGGCCTCCGACTTCTCGATAATTAGCATTTCATTTGTCGATTGTCTTCTTCTGTTGTCAACAAACATTCCTTAATGAACTTTTTTTTTATTTCTGTCTTAACCAACAATATTTTCTTTCTGGAATTTTAACAAAATTTATTCAGAATCTTGCCGGATACCCGTGCGTCTTCATGTGTTCTTTCTCAAATTCAAAAGTTCTCAAATTTTACAATCAAATGATATTCTCGGGCATGGAACAACGGCCAATATGGTTTGCCTTAGAGGATTCCAGCTCGTTGGTTTGTTTCTCTTGCGCGTCGAATTGTATTCTGATTTTTCTAGGTAATGGTTTTCTTGAGTGTGACAGAGGGAATCTTCTTACGCCACTTGGTCATTGTATTCCACGTAATCAATACATAGTTGTCGTGTTGAAGTATCAATATTTAGAAGAATGTGGCTTGCCGACTTTATCTGTAGGGTCATTTGACCCACCCAAGAGAACGTTATCCGATGGGCAACGAGCTACCTTACAATGTCCTTCAATCGTTCTCAACATCACTTGCTCGAAAGGGATTCTCACTCCTCCACCAACATGCCTCACGAACTGTAAGTTGAAACTGCAGACCCATTTCTGATTAATTTCAGCAACCTCCTACTGTGTCCCTCCAAAAGACTCTACTCCTGCCATAATCTATCGCGTACTTGGTCTTAGAAAAACAAATCTCGATCGTTATCAAGCTGTCTATCCGAATGGCACAATTTTCCAATACAAAGTGTGTGTTTACTCAATTTATATTAACCGCTTGTTTGAGTGTGTGGAAAATCGGGAGGAAGCAAGTGGTATTGAATGTGTGAATGGTCAATGGATCAGTAACTTGTTACCCTGTGGTTCGTTCCTCTCGTCTTTCAAATAATCATTAGATTCTTAAAGTCTCTTCTAATGCAACAGAGCTCTCGATCCCAACATCGCATGACATGTGTTCCTTCCCTCCGATAAACTCATCATTCCGTATAATCAATATAGATAACTATATTATGAGTGATGATCATAAGTTTGCTCATGGAACTATTCTGATGGTAGATTCCACTTTGTTTTCGTATGGATTAAAAAACGTTTCCAGGTAGGGTGTGCCATTTCCAATGATATTTCCAAGACCATGGAGTACAAGTGCAGAAGGGGGAAATGGAGTCGTAAACGTCAATTGAACTGTTCTTTTGGTTTGTGCATTGGGAATAGATTTCTAAATTTAAAACAGCTGTGGTACAGTAGGAGAACCTTGTGAGTATAAGGTTGAGCTGAATTCACGTGTAGTTGCCTTCGACGTTTTACGTAAGGAAAATGTTTTGTTTAACGAAGTATTTCAAGGCGAGTTCTTAACCATGTCAAAAAAACTACAATAAAATATTCCAGAAGGATCTCGTTTACTCTTTCGGTGTTCTAATCTAGGAAGTGAAGTTATTCGGGGGCAACGAGAAATTTCTTGTAGGAAAGGGAAGTGGTCGGCTTCATTCCCTTACTGCATTCCGTTAGATCCTCTATCAAGTAAATCAGTTAGATTATTCATCATTGATTTGATTATCAGAAGATATACCTCCGATTGTGTTCGATGTTGAAGATGGCGCTTATTCCGTTTCTCCCAAAGGTCAATTAATAGTAAGCCGAAGCTCAACAATCACTTTCTCTTGTCTAACTCCAAAAAAAGATGGAAAACCGGCATGGGTAGGTATATCTGCGAATCGTAGTAGTTCGAGTAGAGAAGAAATATGAATAGTTCTATGTGGTGTTATTTTTCAGGAACATTCTTCAACTTATAGATCATATTATCAACAATGGACTACAGTGAATGCCCTTGGCAAAAAAAATTTGGATTCCTATGAGGTGCGACATTCTTATACAACAACTTGTTGATTCAATTTAGTTGACTATTGCTGGCGCACAAAAAGAAGACTCGGGACTTGTGCACTGTGTACTACCAAACGGTAAACGAAATACTATAAAGTTTTCTGTGGAAGGTTGATTCTTTGATGTATTTGGATAATGATAACTAATTTAGTTGGAACTTGTAATCCACTTCAGAACTCTTCGCATCTTTATGTTTACTTCACGAACCGAAGCTTCTTTATTGGAACTGTAGCTCAGTTTTCGTGTCCTGTTGGGTTCCGTATACATGGAGCTTCTACCTCAACCTGTCAATCAGATGAAACTTGGAGTCATGCAGCACCCAGATGCCACGGTATCATAGAGATCTTAAACACAACGAAAGTCTCAGTTCAGCCGCTCAATGCCCTCCTTTACCAGTCGATGGAACAAAAATGTCCGTAACTGTAACATCCTATAAATTTGGAGGTGTTGCTATCTTCCAATGTGCGAAAGGGTATATATGCAATTAATTAAATGTTTATGAACCACATTAAGATTTACGCTAATTGGAGCTGAGCACATTCATTGTACAAGTGATGGAACTTGGAATGAACGTGTACCTCATTGTACCAGTATGTTTAATTTCGATTGTATTCATTTCATTGTTTATTATCAAGTTGTCAAATGTGGATCGGTAACGCCACCAAAAAATGGGTTCATTGTAGGTGCAATCAAAGAACAGTATCAGAAAGGAGATATTGGTAAGATTAAGAAGTTAAGAGACCTAATTTAAAAAGGAACATTTTTCGTTTTGTTCGGGTGTTTGTCTAATCATTTGCTAACTGGAGGGGACTTCTCAATCTGTCAGTCGAGTGGTAAATTCAGTGATGTGGTTACAAAATGTTAGTCAAATTATTTCAATTAACAAGATGATAATATGAAACTTTTCAGGCGATGCTATTTGCAGACACCCCGGTCGGCCTCTGAATGGAGATTCCACGGCTCCAGCTAAGGTTTGTTAAATTCTTGAGTATTACTCATCAATAATTTAAAGGATTATTATCTAGTTGGAGAGAAGATTGTATTTTATTGTCCGTCGCCTGAATATAAATTGAATGCTGAGAATGTTCTGACTTGTATATCCGCTGGGAAATGGTCACGTAAAGTTCCATTATGCCTTCCGGATTCAAAAAATAAATAAATGTTACCATATAGCCACAAAATATTAAGAGTCGTTTGAAGAATTGTACCATCGGATAGCATTCAAGCTGTGTACGAATTACTGTTGAAGGAGGATATATGTACTTTTCCCGAGTTTTTGAATAGTTTCTAAGAAATTCGAATATAGAGTACAAAAAGCAAAAGTTCACCCCTCCAGAGACTGCAAAGATTCTCCTCTTAACTCCATTACGAAGATTTCTGTTCATTGATAAGAATATGAAAGGAGGTAAGCCTGAAACTTGTTAATTTGATAATATCTCAATTGATACCTGTTGAGAGTTGATACGCAATAACCCAGCTCTGAGCCAATTCTTTTGGAATAGCTTGAAGATGATGGTAGACCAAACATGAGAAGGCTATGTAGAGATTCAGTCCACAGACTGTGATCGTTTGAAAGAATACCTAAGGCGCTCATATCACTTTATGTATGACAGCGTGTTAACCTGATGATGTTTCTTTTCTCCAACAGAAGACCGTTTGTATCTTCTACATAGTACAACCAAGAAAACTGCATAAAATGAGAAGGTTGATACGACAATAAAAAGATTGTTGAAAACCATGAGTTTGTCATCATACTATAAGTATATAACAAGGATACCCGGTAGAAATAATTTACCAGATCAGCTTTGTTCTCATAAATGAAAGGATCGAAGGACAAAATTCCAAAAGTGTTCACATAAACAGGTGGTTTTACGAAGATGAAGAAATAAACTCCATAGAGCATGGCGAATACAATCCAGAGGTATATTTTCGCGTTTGAAAAAAACTTTTCTATTTTTTGCGGGCTGCATAATTCCAATTGAGAAAAAGAACTTCGAGTATTGGATACCTGACTTCTGCTATTTCGAGTATCCGATTGAGAGCTAGCACTAAACACAGAACCGAGTAAGTTCCCCAGGTCCCTTAAAAAGAAAGTGAAACTGTGTTTAAGATTTCGACAAAATTCAACCTGTATCAATTGTTCCCGTCAAGTAGAGGAGATTAGGCGCATCACAAAACGAAATACCTGCGTATATGCAGTAACCTGTAAGAAATTTTTTTATATGGCAGTTGAGTCTAATCTACTTGCCAACAACCACATTGTTCAGGAAAGTTGCCAATATGTCTACGAATCCATTGTAAAACATCATCTTATAACAAGCAAATTGATAATTCTTTGGTTCTTTCATTTCTAGGACGCAGAGGGAATACAAAATCTAAAAACCATCAGGTCAGCAAAACTAAGTTTATTTACCACAGAGCATGTTCCGTAAGCAATAGCAATTAATCCCCAAATAGGTCTCCGAACGGAATGGCTGATCTCTACCTGCTCAAATGACAGAGCGCTAAAATAGTCTACCAAAATTACTTTTAGAATAGCTTCAATACCTGCAGTTGTAGATCATATTGTCGGTGATATGACCACGCAAGAATATTTCGGCCATGGCGCTTGCACACTTGTCAGGCGATTTTCTAACTTTTAACTGACAATATAGGTTTTTGTGTGAACTTCGGAGTAAAACAGTTTTAATCTTACTGTTTCCAACCTCAAGTCTCACGAATATTAGACGCTTTCACACTCAATCGGTATAGAATGTGTGCAAAAATTGGTGAAGGTTTTGCTGGAGCGGTGATTGAATTTCGGTAGAGAATGAATGAGTTTCTTCTTTTTGTACAAACAAAATATATCAATTGTACCTTTCGCAACATTTTAGTTTATGCGAACAATGATTGTAGTTTTGATTTCAGGAAAACTGCAGTACATTCTATATGCAGCCGTTAGATGGATGTCCTGATGATCTCAGTAACAAGAGTTATTCTATGCACGACAATGACGTCTGTATCTGTATCTGTATCGTTAACTCGAACGTCGTACGGAACCAGGTTTCTGGGAACAATACAATTATACGAATATTAAATAAGTTTCTTCAGATTTGATATAGATCATCCTTTCATTCCCCACAGTTACAACGAGAACGATATTACTAATGGAAGGATAGAAATACATTGATGGTTAAGTACTGAAGAATAACCTTTTTCTGTACTTTAGAGAAGTTGCTTGAAATTCAAATATAGAGTGCAAAAAATAGAAGTCCGTCACAGAAAATATAATTCCTCCTCGCACAGCGTGACATTTAAATTATGGCGAAAAAATAGAAGTCTATTCCACGATGAAACTCCCAGTTCTGAAGTTCTCGCATTAATAGGTTACGAAGATCAAGTACGTACAGGCTCCAGAGAGCAAGGTGATGACAATCCGCAGGTATATTTGAACTATTATGTGAATTATCAGGTCAATATATAGTGTCATATGTACGATTCTATTATGGTCACAGAAGAAAAGGAAAGAGAAAGGATTACATCAGCTCACTAATGAAGAATATCATCTTATTACATGCAAACTGAAAACTTCCGAGATTGCTCATTTGTAAGTGACGATGAAGTTCAGTATAAAGACAACTTGACTATTCTCCAGAGATTATTAGAAGAAGAGAAGAAAACAGTTTGCCGAAAGTTATAAGCTATTGTAATTAGAGCACTTGGTGTATCTTCTCAAATCTACTGTGAACTTTTAGACAACAATGCGGAAAAGAGTTGAGGAATAAGAGGAGAAATAATGAGAAGTGTTCATATCAAATATGCTGAAATATGCCCGAAGCTGTCTAGCTACTGTCAATATGAACTGTGTTTCAAAAAAGATAGAAGCAACATCGGGGATTGGTCTATGAACGCACTCGTATAATTTTACCTGATGTACCGCTGCAGCGCTTGATTATATTTTTAATTACATCTTCATCTAGGCCCCAATACCTTCAATTGCGCCTCCGATTATCGGTGATACGCCCATGCCCAGAAATCGGTGCGATCACACCTGCTCATCATGTGAAATAGTCGTTTAATTCCTTAGAGATGCTCAAATGAAAAATATTTTGTTGAAGTTGTCTAAACCCTAGGTAATTAGAACTTTTGTCTTTGCTTTTTCACCTGTCTCTTAAACAGGCACGGCCTATGTCCGTTGAAAAGAATATAAGATGAATAGGTATAAAGAAAAAGTTCGCTTTCTAGCGGTTCTATAATCTCTAGAGAGTAGAGGTATTGTACTTCTTCACAGTGCGAGTGATTGAGCAGTTTATCTTGAAGTTACATCGTTTCATTCTGCGTGTGTCGTATCTCAAGTCAAGAAGGATGAACGAGATTTATGGCTATGGATCTCTTATGAATAATCCATTGTATAACTGCAGGTATGATTGAAAGTTTTCATTTCTCACCTTATCATTTCAGTGCTATGTCCGTAGAAGATCGTCTGGAGTCTAAAATAATAAGGAGGCCTTTTTGGGGTGCTTGTTCATTTGTTTATGGTATTCTAGCACAGGTTGTATATTTCTTACATTAACACAAATTCAACGGAAAACAGTTTTTTTATGTTCTATGTCTTTCTGTGATGAGGAAAAAACCGCTCTATCAATATGCTTGTTATAAAATCATGTTCGTTCTGGGATGCGTGGATATGGTCTCAGTTTTCATCAACAATTTTATAATGGGTACGTTCATGTTTTGTTTTGCTTTTATTGTTCCAATTAGCTTACTGTCTGGGATTCGGAGTCGACTTCTGTGATATGCCACACTTCCTGTTCGTCACAGGGAGTTTCCACTTGAGTTTTTACTGTTTTCCTAGTGCAATTAGCATTGAAATATTTCAGCTACTTGGGTCATCAGCTGCTATTTCTGTTTGTTCTTGGCTCTAAACAGGATATTAGAAGTCCTGGAAGTTAAGTAAGTGATACGAAGGGAACATTATCTTTTTTCTTTGTTTCAGCCAAAAATTTATCGACTTTTTTTATACGAACAATATACAGAAAATGACAGTTATCGGGTTCCTTTATGGATTGTTCTTCTTCTTGTTCACAAAACCTTTTGTTTATTCGAACAGAGTTGCTTCATGTCTGATTGATCCCCAAATTTATAGAAACAAATCGGAATGGGTAAGAGCGACTTGATAACTTTTGCAAACTATTTTGAAGTATCGGAATGACTGGCTTGTGTTCGATGACTTCATCGTTGTCGTGGTGACTTCTTCTGTTTACGGAACCTATCTTGTTATTTTATGCAAGCGATACAAGGTTATTTCGAATAAAACGGTTCAAGCAGAATCGACTGTTTCTCAAAGACGTCTGCAAAAAGTTATTGAGTTTGCCTCTCGAGATTATTAATTATTTCGTTCACAGGTGTTTGCGCAAGCTACTGTCTTATGTGGGTTGAACTTCTTTTGTGCAGCCATATATCCAGCGTTCATGTTTATGCCAACATTAACATTCATTCCCAAAACAGTCATGATGGCATATCAATTTGCAACAGGTGACTCGAAAACTAATTCATGGTGGTGAGATCTAAATTTAAGGTTTGCCAGCTTTTGTTTATATGATAATGAATCCTACAATTCAAGTTGGCGTTCGAGATTATTTTTTCAGAATCATTGGGAAGGTTTTGATTGTTACAATTCCTCATTTGATAATACCAATTCCAGCAACCAAAAGATTCTCATTTCACCATGACTCTTACACAAACGGCTATGACTTCCCATGTGTCTCCCATGACACAATCTTGACATGCCAGCTCAAACTACAAACTAATGCGGTTGTAACCAACTATCAACTGATGTCATACATGATATCATGGTATATCTACTTCATTAAATTAATTACTATGAAACTATTTTTGGTATTTCCTCACATACGACATAAGAAAAATCACCTTGTTTTCATCAAACTACACAGTTTGTATTGAACAGACTGTTTGTCATTAAAAATAATTTTTTCTCTCCTATTTCTACATGAGAAACTTTGCTTTGTTTTGCAGGTGCCAATAAATAACGAACATTTGATTCATAAATTCATTCATTTATTTCTGAGAAAATTATTTTTTGAAAATTTTCAGTTCTTTCTTCTCTTTCAGAAAATCCGCAACCACACATTGAGACACTATTCTTGGGAAACTTCAAAATGTGCAGGTAAATCTTTAGCTCGTCCTTCTCTAACACTGGTATTAACTTAGATATGTTCTGGGCGGTTTTTACTTTTTTGCTACAATTTCTTCTTTCCTTATAAATCTGCTATTAATGTATATATTGTATAAGCACTGGGCGGGAATACTCAAAGTTTTCAACGTACGATTCGTTTTGAGCTTAACGTTTTCGGCCTTGCTTTATACTATTCCTAACTTACTTGTTTTCCTTCCCTGCTTCCTGGATTCCTGTCTGTATAGTGAACGAATTAACATTTTTATATCCGCTCTCAACACAATCGCTTATTTCTCCTATCAGTTTGGGCTTCTACTCGTGGCCTGCGAACGTTTCTTCGTCTTCTACAGCTCTAAGTATTATAAACGGCTCGTTAAAATATCAGTATGATTACTCTTTGCTTGCTACTTTAAGAGTACATCTCAGGTTTACTTGATTATATGTAACTGGGTATTAACTTCTATCTTCACTATTATATCAAGTAGTGATGGATGCTTCAAATACTATGATCACTTATACAGCAGTTTCTCTCTGTACTGCAAAGGATCTATTTGGTTTGAGATTCATGTGTTCATAGGTTTTGTTCCGTTACAACCAGCTTAGTCTGATATAATTCATAGGACAACTAATCTGTACAACAATGATGTTGTTATATGGTTCAATTCTATTCCGATTAAAATCGCTGAGGACGCTAACCTCATCCAATGAGAAGAACAATACTTCTCTAGTACAGCTGATGATGTTTAGAATACTGACTGCATGTTTTTCCTTAAGGCATTACAGTTCGGGATTATATCCTCATTCTCTTGGTTGTCTGGGATTCTTTTTCTCTATTTACCTTCGATACCAATTAAGTAGTATTTGACCACTCAATTCGAAGATGTAAAACAGTATTTCAGAAATCCTATCATTATGAGTACCATTTTTACTACCATTGATATCATAAACATCAACACAATGACAATTACTCTCCTTTTCTTTAATCATACTGTGCAGTTCAGCTGCTCAATTTCGAAATGAATCGAATTGTGGTTCAGATAGGAAGGAATTGAGAAGAATATTCAGGAAATACAACAACTGCCATTGTCAAATCTTCAGAGCTGAAGAATCCAATGTAACTTTTCATGAATACATTTTTGTATTTTACCCTGTTTTACGTGAGAGTCGCGCATTCCCTATTTTTCATTTATAACAATCTGTTCTTGGACTCGGTCGGTTTTGTTTGATTCAAAAGCTGATAGGAAACGAGTGATTAAAAAGTGAAGATGTCTGAGAAAAGATTTGATGACGACGACTACTCAATTGTTTCGGCAACTCATGTTTGTTTCAAAATATAATGAGTTCATTGATTTTTGATGTTTCAGCATTTGAGAAAAGGGATGCCTACTGTCGAAGAAGTACTTAGAGCTCAAGGAAGACGACTTACGAATGGTTTCTTTTCTTCCTATCCAAAAAAATAGTTATATATTTTATTTCAGAAGAACTAAATTATATGCTCTCGATAAACGCTATTCCGTCGATAATAACTCAGGATATGACTCCTGTTCTCCACAAAATAACACGCGGTAATGAAGACTTTTACGTTGTGAGCAAGATTTTCGATTTCTTTTTAAATATTATTTATTAAGCTTATGGTCGATGAACCCCCTTGCAGTTGTCGAAGAATGGGAGGGAAGAAAGAAAAATGCGACAAGCATAAAAACCAGAAAAAGGTTTTCATAAGTTTGAGTTTTAATGTATGATTGTATCCAGGAACCGAAAAAAGACAGTGGCTCAACGAACAGAAGTACGATACCCGATATTAACTGCGTCCCTCAAGGAGCTGAGAATTTTGCAATTCCTAAGAGAGACAATCTCTCTTGTAAAGAAAACAAGATAGAGAACCTCCCTATCATAGAAACAAAAATTGACAATCTCGCTATCAAAGAGAATAGAAAAGAGAATCTCTCTAGTGTCTATGTTGCTGGTGGTGGTCAGAATACACAGAAACATATGCAACAGAACCGATTTGATGAAAATCAGAGCACTCCGAAGAGGGATAATCTGTCGAGTGTTTATGTTGCTGCTGGTGGTCAGAATACACCAAGACCGCCTTTCAAAAAGCAACCTGACGATAAGGTAGGTATTTTCAAGGTACTCAACAATGCATGATAAATTTTCAGAACTCTGAGAAGAAAAGTTCCAATATCAACAGTATTTATATGAAAAATAATTTCTAATAGGTCATAAAAGGCTTCATCTCGTCTTCCGTTAGTTCTCTTGGCTTGAAAACATCAACAATATTGGCTAATGTCTTAGAAGACATCAAGATTATTTTTTTAAGTAATAAACGAATAGTAACCTGATAATTCGGATCTTGTGTTTCAATCACCATATGTTGCCCGGGTTTCTTGGGTAGATTATTTTCTTTCGACCTTTCACCTATCGAAACTGATTCCCCAGCTTCATCTTCAATTATCATAACATTGTTTCTTTCTCTTCTCTTAAATGCTAGTAATTCAAAAAAAAAACTTTTCTAAGTTTTGCCTGTTGTGCTCTGTTGTGTTTGAAAACGGCACTACTGATACCAGCCAATGTCTAGAAATAAGGAAATAACACTGAGAAATTCATTTGGAAATCTTGCCTGGTAGTTGGGATCATCCGGCTGTTGCTGTACTGCTCTGTTTTCAAGTGGCTAAAAACGCTTTTCAGGACAATATGAAGATCTTATTACTTTTTTAAATTTATTTTTCGGGCTTTGCTGAAATAAGATTCAAACATATCTCTTATTTTATTTCTTACCTGCATGTTATTGTTCTTGATTCTTTCATTTGGTTTCTGAAACAATTTCAGAAAAAATGATAAACTAAGACCAAACTCTCAATCATACCTTGTTTTTAATAAAAATTTCACTGTGCAAGTTGGCAAGAGTCTGTCATGAGGTCGAACTGTATTACTTTTTCTAAGCATACCTGGTAGTTCGGGTCATTATGTTTGATCATTCGTTTGACAGCCGGCGCAGTTATTTTTCCATGTTGAGATGTCTATGTAAGCACTAGAGCAATGAAAGAGAAACTTCAAACCACTTTTGTGTTATTTTTGTTTCTTAGTTTCCTTCCAGACATAGTGTTTCCCCTGTCGTTAGCCTGAAAGTTCCTTCAGGTAACACCAAGTAATTTCCATTACCTTCCTCGTAAATACATCATCGTTTAGCATTGCCATTGTCTATTAGCAGATAAAACAAAAAGTCAGAATCATAAAGAAACCTGGTAATTAGGATCACTATGCTTCACAACTTCTTTTCTTCCAGGTGTAGCAAAATGTTTCTCTCTTTTGCGATGCTGCAAAACACAAACATATAACTTTTATTTGCTATTGTTCGTAACTGCTTTATTCTTTTTTATTTGAGCTTTGGTATGCTCTTCATCACTTTCACCTGATCTCGTCTTGATGGGACGGAATTAATAATTATCTTTGTTTACGTACTTGCTCACCACCCTTTTCTACAGTGGCTGCTCCTGTTGTTGTTGTGGTTGCGCCAAATAGACGATGCTATTTTGAATTGTTAATTCACTTTTGAACTCAAGTAAACGATGAACTCACCTCGCCCTTACGTTTTTTTTCTCTACAAATAATAAAAGAGCACAAGGGGAAGAGTAAAAGTATCAGCAGTTCGCCGGAAATCTGACAATACGCCGATTAATTACTCCAAAACCGCAATCATGAGACATACACTTACACTTAATCCTGCCGAGAACCACATCATTTATTTCAAGAATAAACTACCCCACGTTGAAAGCACATTTCACGTGGAAACTGTTCACGTTATTTTAAAAAAAAACTCATTTATAAATCCGTGAAAATAGTTAGTGGTCGTTTTATTGATTTCTCCAGACTTTTTCGATTCTTTGCTCTTTCGAATCAAGCTTAATTTCCATATCCTGGAGAAGCGGAGCATCACTCCCTCCTCATTCCGCACATGAGGCTCATGCCTGCAGAACCCGGCATTGAGAAATTCAATAACATCCGCCACGATAACTTACGGGGCGCATTTTTTGGCGGACGCCAGTTATTGCTCTTTGACAAAAAAGGTTAAAAAATATATTTGTGCTTGAAATTTGAACGTTCCAATACTTTCTGCAAAATATTAGATGAGATCAAGTCAGCTCCATGGAATACTTTCATAAAATCCGCTCTACAGTTACTCAAGTTGCAACTCAAGTGAGTATGACTTCTTAGCTTATTTTTCCTTTTTCTCATCAGGTTAGCAATGCTCTACCTGGTAACCCCTTATCGCGGGAGTATGATATAGGAGAAGTTATTGGTACAGCAGGTCCAGGTTTGAACTGGAAAATTTTTAAAGCGATCAAGAAGTCAACTAAACAAGTGGGTTTCTTTAAACTCTAGATAGAAATGTAAGTTGTCGTTCAAGACTGTTTCGGTATGGCTATATGATAAGAAGGACTGTGAAAAATGGCCCAAAGATGACAGGGAACTATTTCTCTCAACAATTAAGAGAGGAGTCTCGCAGCTAACACGTTTGAGGCATCCAAGGCTTCTTGTCATTGAACATCCTATCGAAGAGTCTAGGTAAATTGAAATGATTCAACTGCTCGAATTCGTTTCTTATAGAGATTCTTTGGCTTTTGCCACGGAGCCCATATTTGCTAGTTTAGCAAACTGCTTAGGTATTTTGAAGAAGTGATAGAGTATAAAGTACGTTTGCTTCAGGAAAAACCGACAATCTGGGACAACCCCTTCCACTTCATTTGAGACAGTTTGCACTTCTAGAAATTGAAATAAAGCATGGATTAGTTCAAGTATGTGATGATCATGACTTTTCTTCCATTAATTGTTTTTAGCTTGGTGAAGCTCTGGCTTTTCTACATATAGACGCGAGGATTCTGCATAGAAATTTATGTCCCGAATCTGTGATCATTAACGACAGGGTATGCTATTCTTCTTCATATGCTAGAAAAATATGTTTCAAGGGTGCTTGGAAGCTTGGAGGATTTGATTTCAGTGTATCAGGAACTGCAGGTCCTACCGGAGGAGTTAGTTTCTATCTTTTTTTATCACAAGTTTGTTTTCTTACACAGATGGTTTATGAATCTTTCGAATGGAATGAACGCATTCCTTCATTGTGTCAACCTAACTTAGACTACTTCGCTCCTGAATACATCGTAAGTTTTCAGTATTTGTGCCTCTTCCATAAGAACATTCCAGATGGGAGGGCTTGTGAGTCCAAACGCTGATATTTTCTCTTTGGGAGCTTTATCTTTCGCAGTTTTCAACAAATGCAAATCTCCAATGGAACACAGCAATTCTATCCCGAAATATAAGAAGAATATTGAAAAGGTTTCGGAAAGAAACTTTTCTAATTTTATTTTTTTATGTTTTTTAGGTCAAAAGTTTTCCACAACAGTTCTCCGACAACATTTCGCCTATCTTCAAAGATGACTTCAAGATGTGTCTTAATTATTCGCCTGATCTTCGGCCGGATGCAACTCAATTTACTAAAGTATCGTAATCTTTTCTTGATATGTTTACTATTCTATTTGCAATCTAGGTAGCTTACTTTGACGATCCATTAGTTAAAGCTTTAAATTATTTTGAATCTCTGATGCAAATGGACAACAATCAAAAAATGCAATTCTTCAAATCCCTCCCAACTGTTCTCTCACAGTTTGAAAAAGTAAGCGATCATCTGGCGTTATACATGCTTTATGCTAACCATACAGAGACCACTACTACAAAAAGTCATGCCATGGTTAGCAGGAGAATGCTCGACACCGGATTTGATACCTTTCATACTCCCATCGATCTTCCATATCACAGAACAAGCAACCAAAGAGTTAGTGAATCAGTTGTTCAGTTTCAACTTGAATATCTTTACTTAAGAGAGTTCACCGCATCTGTTCTGCCTATGCTGATTCCGGTATTCAGTATGGAACGGCCTTATCAGGTTTATTCGTACAAATTTCTGAATAAAACTATTGATTTTGTGAAACTAACAGATTGCCTTGTTACTTCTTCAACGTATGGAATTGCTTTTGGAAAAATCACATGACAACGACATCAAAACATACATATTGCCTCTAATCTATAACTCTATATCTAGCGAAACAACAAGGATTCAAGTAATCTATCACTCTGTTCTATACTTCAAAAAGTATTTCAAGGAACTGTGTTTATCGATTGTTCCCACTATAGGAAAGCTTGTGGATCGAAACTCGATGAAAACTCAGCTACTGCCCAAACTGCTGAAGTTGGCTACGGAAGGAGGAGTGCTAGCGGTGAGTTCAGAAAGATTTTTATTCACATATCAACATCAAAATTCTGTACATCATCAGTATAGTCATGGTTCGTTACAACGAAATAATCATCTGGTTTGTAGTTCTCGGGAATTTTGATTTTAGCTAAGGGGTCGAAATCTGGGAAAATTCAAAGTAATGCAGTGCAATATTATTTGACACACCTGTCTTTTTCTTAGAGAGTATCGCCTCTTCATCCCGGGTAAAGTAAGTCTTGATATCACAGAGACGAGGGTTCACAGCTCTTTCGTAGTCATAACTACAGGTACTGAGGTGTATAACTTCGAGTTCTAACTTACCGAACTCTCGAAATATAAGTTCCTGCTGAACAGTATCCACAGGATTGTCTACATTCTCTAAAGGCGAAAGGGTAAACCGCGCAATCCATGTGACTGTATTTCGAGGTGTCCCAAAAACCTTTTCTATAATTTGGGGATTAGGATTTTGAAATTTTTCTATTTTATAAACCTTTGTGTGAGTTTTGTACAAAAATCTTGTCCACGGCGGTCCCAACAAGGTGAACTCTGAGGATTCAGTAATTGTTCAGATGTCACTTGCTTGTACAAGGAAGAACTATTACTGTTTCTTCTATCAAAACTATATAAGATGAAAAAAAATGCAATCATCCAAAACAGTTTGGTACCAAGTAGAACAACACTGGATCAAAGCAAAATCAGCATCTCTAGAACAACGTTGCCGGAACTTTATGTGATCAGACTGTCTTATCCGTTGACAAGTTGCAGACGTTATCCTGTCAAGACAACAGGGTGTTTTATCAATCAGATGAATATAAGTCGATAGAGATGCTGAAAGAATTACCTGATGCGAATTACTAAAAACCATACCTTGAATTATGAATAGAAGATAAATTAATGAGGAGAGCATGACTCGGGACATCGAATAGAATTGGAATTTCGGCCAACTTCTTGTATGGAACACAATGGTTTAATCGTTGTTAGGCTCGAGTAAACACGCGATGTGAAAAGCGTGAATGTTGTAGAGTCCGATATACACATATTGCATAACGTAATGTTTGTCAAATTCGGATCACTGCTCATTTTTTGCGTAAGATTATCACGATGAGAGGTCTACTAGTTTGATTATCCTGTGCACTTTCCTTATAAGATGAGTAATAAGAAAACAGCTTCAAATAAACTTTTATTACGGGCTTTGAATAAATAAGATTGTGACACGTTTGAGATGCTTTTTGAGATGATTTAGACTTGTACAGCAAAGACTTTAGTATAGAGGGGTGCATAACTTAGGATTTTTCGCTGCTTTTGGATCGTATTTTACTGTGGCGTGTTTTGTTCTAAAGTTTAGGCTTAGATCTTTCGAAATTGTCCAAAATGAACTTACGCTGTACAAAAACCGCATGATTTTTTGCAAACACGAAAAGCAAATGCTGAGTGTTGGCAAGCGACAGGGCTTCTTGACCATGCTCCGCTCCGAGTAACAAAAGCTTCGCAGAAAGCTGTTCCATGTCTATCAAAACAGATCGTCGGGTTATATTTCAGCAACAGGTTTTCAGCATCTTCTTTATATATATCTCTAGACACAGGTGCACCTATAAGTGACAAACGTGACCATATTTCTGGTTTAAATAAAAAAAAACCTAGAGCTGTGAAATAATCGGGATTGAAATGACACGAGTGGCAACACTGCATGAAACTAAAGTCTGGGTTCATACGACATTGTTTGGCAAATCTATCGTGGTCTCTATTATACATAGCTTTACACACTCCGGCTCGGAGTGTGTCTACGCAACATGGAGTCCCTGTAGCTTTTTGAGCACTGATTTGAATCTCAATAGCTTGCACATCTGAGAAAGATTTCGGTACCACAAGATCAGAGAGTTCAAGGAAACTTACCGTGCAATGCGAAAAATGAAACCAAAACAAAGACGAAAAGCATAGATGTCGTATTGAAGGGCAGCTTTGCCAGAAGCTTTGCTTTTATAGACGGAAGGATTCGTCCTGGTTTGGAATCCGGTTTCTATTTTCTTTCACCTCCCTTGTGCCAGGTCAGGGTAATTGTTTGGTCTGCTGCGGTCATTCTTATGAATTATGACAACTCGGCGTGCAAACAAGGTTTAAAGACCAGCTGCCGGTTTTGTGCTTTTCTCTTTTCAAAACGGATCAGAGATAGTTCATGTTGTCTACCGGAGAAGGTGTTGTTATTTTGGAAACTAGTCTGAAAAAAAATGGTAAACCGATGTCATCCTTATTTGAACACCAAAAATTGCTTCCTTTCTTAAGAAACATGAGACAAACTCTTTTTCCCCAGACTGACGATGTTCTCAAAAACTCATTTTCAGATTAGAGTTCAAGCGCTTGTTTGCGTAGGAAAGCTTTTGCCAACTTTGGAGTCTTGGATGGTCACTGAGCAAGTTCTTCCCGCGCTTCCAAAAATATCAAGCAAAGAGCCTGGCTTACTCATGGCTATTTTAGGCAATGAGCCTGTTCAGATCATTGGTACAATAATTATTCTTAGGCATTTACAAGTTATCGGTGGAAACCTCTTCTATTGGAGTTGGGCGCGAACAGCTCGCAAAAAGTGCTCTGCCATTCTTAATGGCTACTTCAGTAGAAAATACTCTAAATTTACATCAATTCGAACAATATATGGCTCTTATCAAAACTGTACTGACTAAGGTTCTTTTGTAACGTTTTTGATTGAGAGTAACTTCTGATGTCAGGTTGAAACAGAACAGCGGTCAAGGTTACAACAACTGAGTGCTGGTCAGGAAGAGCAGAGGTTGTTTGGAGTGAGCAGCTTCTCTTCATAATCTAACTTCTACAGAGGCATTCCTAATTTTGACGAAGTTCTGAAAGCGAGCTCATCCAATATTCTCCCACAAAGTCTCAACGATTTCGGAAATTTAAATCTAGATGTTGGATCTAAGAAGGAAGCCGGAACAAAGACTGTATGTTTATTGAAGCTCGATTAGAATAAAATAAATAAATTCAGGGCGCATTATCTCTTGAAGAGAAGAAACGTCTAGCTGCTGAACAGGAAATGAGCAATAAGAAAGGGAACCCTGTGCAGGTTTTGTTTGTCTGTTTCATTTTTGTTTAATTTGCATATTCCAGCCTATACCAACAATGGATACCAAGGTATCTATGCCATCTTCTAAACCTACAGGTTTGATATAATCTAACAAATAGTTACAGTGTTACTTTAAGCTGCATCAAATATGATGTTCGATCCATTTGATTTGTCATTATCAATGACTTCATCATCCAATAAAGGAGGAGCTATTGATATTTCCGAGTTTATGCCCGAACTTCAGAACAAGAATGGTAATCCATTTTCTGAACCGAAAGATGAATAAATAACGTTTTTCAGTAGCTAGCAACAATCAGAATAATTTTGCCAACTTCGCAATTAATAATTCGTCTTCTTTCCCACAACAACTGAATACATTCAACGCAAACCAGTCCAATTCTTTAGGGTTCCCACAACCCCCAAGGTTCGTTAAGATCCAGAACAACTTTTCCTGCTTTCCGGGTTGCACATGTGTTCATGATTTCTATAACTCTTAATGAGTTATGTGATTCTCACCTATTACAGATCGACAAATGCCGCCGTTCAACGTCCTAGTTCTCAAGGAAATTCTCTGGATGCTCTTTTAGCGTTCCCCAATAAAGCCAAACAATCGATGGGAAATTCAATGAATGGGTTCGCTCTGCCCCCACCACCTACAGGAACTTTCCAAAAAACAGTTGCTCCTCAAAAACCGAACACAGACAACAAAGACAAAGACCCATTCTTCGACTTATTGGGATGAATGGTCATTTTACTTGAAGTATTGAAGTCATTACACTTCAATGATGTGATATTTTCGGGTTTTCTACGATATGTCGGTTGTTTAGCTGGTGCTCCACTGTTTTTCAGAAAAGTATCTTTATGGTCGATCATGTCTAGTCTTCAATCAAATAATATTTAATTTTATTAATTCTTTCCAGCACATTTTTATTATCCTATAAATATTTTTTTTTCTTTTTTTTTTTGAAGTTGAGGTGATGACCGTACACTTATCTCATGTGTTCTCATTTCTGTGAGGCTCTAACTGTTGGACCATTATCAGTACTGAAGCTTCTTGATAAGATACTGCGTTTTTCTTTATATTTGCTTCTACTTCGGTGATAAGCTTTTTTTTTCGATTTGAAATAATAATAATAATATCATTAATGATAGTTTCACTAAATGCTTTTCAGATGTCTAGATGAGACCCAATTCTCAGAATTTTACCTATGCCTCGTGGCATCCATTATTAGTAAGAACTTTGATAAATTCCATCGATGTGAGAGATCACAATGCACGATTCCGATGTGGCACGACTTTGGCTATTTTGTCCAAAATTCCTATCTCTAAAGGTGTTTCAACTATTTATAATTAAGGGTATCAATTCTTATTTAGCTTCTCTCATCTTGATGGAGAAAGCGCTGCCATTTCTCATTCGGTATATAGATTCTGTAAACTTGTCGGACTCTTTGCGGTACGACGATGAAATTGAGGAGATCTTTACCGATGACGTGTTTTCCAAAATTAGTGAATGCTAGTAAGTATTTCTGAAAAAAATATCTATAGTTTTTATTTCAGTGGTGTCAAAAAGCCGAAAAAGAACAAACGCTTCAAAACCCGTACAACCGCAGCAGGGCCAATAGTTGAAGAATTTGATTCTGATACGGATAAAGATGTTTGTAGAAGAACTCGTGTTGTAAGTTTTTTAAGTATGAGGAAAATTATTCATAAATCTCTGAAGGTATATGTTCATGAATGCGTATTAGAATCTGACTCGGATGGTTTTGCAGCTTTTGCTGGGGACATTTTACCTGCAGGTTTTTGTTAGTTTTAAATCTAGAAATTTTTCTCTGTTAAGGACAAGAAGTTGAGCGGAGCGAGATGAAGGAAAATGCCATGTGTCTAATTTACAAAAACTTATACGGAAAATTTCCTACTGTGTTATCCCCTCTTCAATGTCTATCCCATGCTTTAGTTGTTCTTACTAGGTTTTCTGTCCAAATCAACGTCTTCGCTGGAGTTGGTTCAACTTATGATATCATTTTATATCAGCTGCTTATAGATAGTATTCCTCCGAAACTTTTTACTAGCCGATCGTGGAATATCGCTAACAAAAGGAGATGACCAGAAGTACATGTTCATCACCTGGTTCAAGTGGCAACTGGTATTAAGTTTGGTGAGTTTTATTTTATTATTCTTTTCCAAATTTTTATAGTCATTTTTTTGCAAAAATATCTCTAAATTCATTGTTTATAAAATACGTATACGCGTATTGCTTTGGCTAGCGTTCAATTCAGTTTTCATTTCCCGTTAAAATCGAGCTGTTACCGGTTGTTCTACTAAGACTAGCCACTATTTGAAAAAAGTTGAAATTTTCAGTGTACTCAATGCATTGGTACCTTAACGTCGGTTGTTCCTAGTGTGTTAGGAATAGAAGCTGAACTAGTTTATGACTCTGTTCTCCGGGCGTTGATACTTCGTTTAAAAGAGGTTTGCTTGCAAATCAGTTTTGCTAGATAATATTTTTAGAATACCGATGCTTCCAAGAACTTTCGTTACCTACTGGACGATCCCACTAGTTTCAATGATTGTTATATATCGTCTTTCGATGATATGCTGCAACGTACAAACGAAGTGGCATTGAGGTTACCGTTTCACATTTCAGCAAAAATCAAATCCATATTAAATAGGCTTTTAAAATTGATCCTCAGCGTAATACAAATATCGAAGTGCCATGAATATTTGTCTCAAGTGGGACAATGTATAGTATCTTGGGGTAGCGATCCTCTATTTGTAGATTATATAGATAGGTATTTGAACGAATGGTTCAAGATAAGCTTCATCATCTTTTTCCTCCAGAGCTTTTACTCTTATAAGTACTGAACTTCGGGTATCAAGTAACAGCTCAACTGCTGGAGCAAGATTTGCGTTTGAACTCTTCGCATCTCTCATAGATTATAGGTAATTCAACTCATTTTCTTCTCAGTAAGTCTGTTCGAATTCAGTGAACTTACGAGATATCTCTTGGACTGGTGCTTAACATTTCCCTCAGGATTTCATGAGACAGTTACTGGACAAGAATTAATTAGTGTCCTATCTCCTTACCTCGATGAATTCCCCTCCGTTGTTTGTAATGTATGATGCTCTTCATTTCCTTGATAATTCCATAGATTATAGATACTAAAAAGACATTTACCCGTGATGCCATGGAATACTTGTAGCAAAAATGCTTCTTCTTATTTGAATGTGGTTTCGGGATCACCTTCTACGACTGTTATAAATTTGGTTCAATCCATTTCTATCGATGGATCTGTGGATATTCTGGTTCAAGTTTGCACATTGGTGTTACCTCGTGAGTAAGCTTATACAACATAATATAACACTTTGTTCAGATTGCGACAACTCGGACTGTGATTTTTTGCTAGCAGAATGTGTAGTACCGGCAATTGAGAAGACATGTGAACTATGCGATTTCACAAATGAAAGTTTATGTACGTACCTACAGAGGAGTTAGTAGCAACTTAGTGTTTCAGCTGGAACCAATGAGATGTCCAAAGATGTTAAGGATTTGCTGAAAGAGTTAGAGCTGTTGGCAGCTTATTTGAAAACAAAGAGTGCTGCTAAGAAAGTGATAACGTTCGTAAGCGCAACTTCTATGATCAACAAGCCTTTTTTCAGCGCGATCGTTATACCGCATAGAGATTTCTATTTCTTCGCTTCGGAGCTTCAAGATGTTTTTGTTGCTGTATGTTCAAAAGCAGCTCGTTTAGCTGCAGATATGACTTTGGTATGTCTTGCTGCTTTGTTCTCACTAGTCTTACCGTTTAGGATTCGGGGCTTTGTGAATGGTTAGTAGATCGCTTGAACTCGTGTACTCGCCACATATCTACGGACGTTTGGGTTCTAATGGATGATTCAGCGGCCCATTTTTCGAAAATTCTTATATCAAACTTGAATATTATTTGTGATATCTTAGAAGAGAATCCAGGTTGAGTTTCAGAATCTTCTGTTCATGCCTAATCATTTTTTAGATGTGTTCTCCCCTTTCACGGACCGTCTTTTGGCATATGCATCAAAATTACTTGACTTATGCTTCGAATGGATGACTACACCTTCTGAAATATATCGTTCAATCAGAAGGGTTGCAGAAGTTACCAGCAAAGCACTCTCCATTCACCTTCTTCTTGTCACAGATACTGTGTGTTCTGTTTTGAATATACCGATGACTTTCTTTCTTTGAGGTTGAAATTTGCAATAAGTTCTCCAAATCGTTATACAAAGCACTCACTAAATCCCGGTCATCTCAATTAATCAGCTGTATGATCTGCTCCTTGCTCGAAAAGTTTGTATTTTGTAGCATTTTATTCATTCATATATATTCAGATGTGTTTCTCGTTTCCCGAGTGTAATGGGCAGCCTTCTAAGCGTAGATCATGATTCTGAGGACGACGCATTAATGGGAGATGGAGGTACAGCACAGGGTTTTCACTATATTTTGTTCGAACTTTTAGGCCCATTAGCTCATGTACCGCCCCGCTCTATACTGCACCCTACCTTAGTAACAACTGTTATCGAACTCACATCTAACATTTTGAGGATATTCGACGAATTAGATTCTACATTAGAGTTCCTCATTCTTAAAATCTGTAAGCAACTACAGGTTATCGACAAACATTGTGGCAAAGGAGAAGACGTAAGTAGTAGATAAGCTGAGATTACATATCACACAAGTTTCAGTGGTTGGCAAGTTTGTTCGTCCTACGAGATGCTGTTGTTCAGCTGTCTGCTAATTCTGATATTGTCTACACACTACACGATCTTTTGGGTTTATTCATAAAACGATCGCCTTCGAGCGCATACCTGAACGATTTCGTGAGAGATTACTTTGAAAATGAGAAATATAAGGTAGGCACTTTTTTAGCTTCACTTAAGAATAGATTATTACAGGAAGTAGTTCTGAACTCTTTCATAAAATTATTCAGTGATCCACCTAGCCCTCCTGTTAGTATTGTTTTCCCGCAGCCTGCTATCAGGTCTCCTGTAGAAATCAAAACAGAAGCTGAGCTTGTTGAAGAGACTAAATTAAATGAGTTAGAAACTTTGGAAAAAGTAAGTTCAGTATAGGAATTTTTTAACATTTCTATGTTCCAGAGCGCATCATCAAACACAATGCTAGATGCTGTTGAGAAGCTTTTGACTTCAAACAGGTCCGATGAAGAGTTTGAAAGCGAACAAAGAAAAGAGAAAAAGAAGCATTTAAGGTATCTGAGTCATTTGCTTCCTTCATGACTCATATATTTAATTCTTCAGAAAGTCTACTCTAGCTTTACGAAAGCAACAAAGCAGTACCGAAGTATCTACAACCTCTGCTTCATCCAGTAATTGCAATGGTATAGAGAAATGAGTTATACTCTCAAAATCAAACCGATTTTCCAGGGGGTGCAGCCACTTTCACTCTCGGCAACAATCACTCTGTAACATCAGCTGATGGGTTAACATTATCGTTCTGGATTAAAAGAGAGCTTCTGTCCAGGGTCTGAATCTATACGATTATGTGCACAGATAGTTGTTTTCAGAACAGCTCATGTCAACCGCTCCCCATAGCATCAATTGGAGGTGACAGTTTATCGTGTCAAGTTCTCCTAACAGATAAAGGGAAATTAGTGTTGGACATCATTGGGTTTCCATTAAAAACAATCTCTCGGTTTGTTGAGTTTTTTTTGTTCAGGATAAGATGTAATTCAGCTTGCGGTTGAAAGGCAGCATGAAAGAGAAAAGTTGGACTCATTTCGCTTTAGGAATGAGAGCATTGCCAAACCTCATAACTATTCAGGTATATCACAGAGCTAATAAATTTTGCTGAAGTCGTTGTAGGCTTGCGTTGGAGAAGCTTGGTCTCTCTATGAAGTTCCTTTGGTTGTTAAACTAGATAATCCTGTCTTTCCAATGACTATAAGTTTCGGCTGCGTACGGAAGAAATCACAACATATCTATTACCTTTCTTCTTTGTTCGGTTTCAAAGGTTGTTCGGTTATAACTCAGATCTTGCAATTTAATGCTACGCAGGACTGCTAGGTTCATCAAATTTGCTTGCACTATCCGGTTTGGGTTGTCAGCTTTCCTCATTGGCAGAAACCCAAATTCAACATCTTGCACCGAACTTGGCATCAGTGATCACTTATCGTGCTGTTGCGACCAAACAATGCTTCTTGGAACCAGTTGCTAGAGATATTGGAAAGTTTGTGCAAAAGTTGCAGGTAGTATTGAATATTCCAAGATTCTTAATCAAGTCTCATAATTTTAGAGAAGTCTGGTTGTAATTGTACCCGCATCATCAGCACACTCTTATGGTGTGAGCATCATTCCTGCTGATGTTGAACCAGCCTCTCTAGTCGGGAAGTCTGCAATGAGATTAGCTCAAATTAAAGTATCATTACATAATCATTTTGTCGAGTTGTAATCAATTTCAAGGAATATCAAATCTTATGGTTGAGTCGGTTGGATCAGCAGTTCAATGCTTCTATTGATGAACACTTAATTCCATTGGGTGGAATAAAATTTATAATTTATATATTTGTCAAGGTGATATCCATTTTTCTTGTTCGTATTAACTTATGTTATTATTCAAGGCTGTTAATGATGGGCTGTCGAAACAAACACAACGTGCAGCTCTCGGCCTCCTCCTTAAATGTTTGAGAAGGGACTGTATATATACGATCGAAGCAGATAGAGTTAAAGCTCATCTTGTTATTGCTAGAACTTTGTCATCTCCTCTAGCCATCTGCGATGAATCCACTCTAGATGTAACTTTTTTTGTTTTTCTTTAAACTTATAAAGTTTTAAGGTTCTCATGCGGTACTGCATACGATGGACACCAAGTGAAAATGAAGAAAGTAAAGATGCGGATTCTTTCTCATTGGATCCTTATCAAGTAATTGTCGGCTCAGTGTTTCTCCTCAAAATTTTTTCAAGGCTGTCATACAAGAGCCCAAGTTCATTGCTCTCCTCTCTTGCCGTTGCGAATTGTGGAGAAAAGACAGATTTTTTGTCTATAGAAAGTTTATTAGCCATTTATCGGATGTTTTGGATCCCCAAACTTGTAAAGTACCTGCGGCTTTCAACCGTGGGCAACTTTCTTCAACTGATATGCTCCCGAAATTTCTGCATGTATGTTTTGAAGATATAGTCGCTCTATTCAACTTATTTCTCAGTGTTTGTTGGAAATGATACAAGACACTGATAATTTCCCAGATTTCACATTTGAGACATCTTTCGCCAACAGCGTGACTCTAGTTGTACAATCATTGCTAGGAATACCGGAGTTGCCTCTGTCTGTTGCCCATCTTTGGCATTTTATATTTTTGTCTCATCCTGCGAATTACACTTATATCGATCATCGTGTTCTTGGTCATTCGGAATGGCTTAAACCAGGTGTGCTGTTCGTAATTTACTTGACTATTTTCCATAGCATACATACGAGACAGTCCCGAAGGAGAGTTATTGGTTGATTCCCGATTGTGTAAAGAATTAAAAAGCATAATAAGTCTGCTAGGAGAAGGTTTGAACTATTGTTGACCTCTCTGAGTATGACCCTTTTTTTCAGAAGAAGTGAACGAGCTGTGGAAAAAAGGTGTGTCACCATTTGAAATCCGACGTCTCTATCAGGAAAAGGCACAACAGTACTCTTTGGATACTGAGAGTGGCGCCGATGAAAATTCGCCGGACTTGGTAAATATCAACTCTTTTAACAGTTATTATTCGTGTTTAGGATGTACTTGATAATTGGTCAAGCGAAGACGACCTCACGAATCAGCAACTGAAAGAACCATCAAAACCAGAACGTGCTTGGGTTGTGTGTCTTAGAGCATCTCTTATGAAGCTATTATCCAACGTTCTGCAAAACGGAGCTGATTCATTAATGTCTTGTCTTCAACATGATGTTATATCTTGGCATGTAAGTTCAAAAAACTGTTTTTACATTTGTTCCATAATCCAAACAGGCCATAGTTGTTCTTTTGTCTCATCAAGACGATATAAGGATACGGGAAGCTGCTTTCGATCTACTTCAGAAATTTTTGGTAATTACTTACGATGTTCTTTCTCTATTCCATGTTTAAGCTACGTTCACCACTGTACACTAAGATAGTCTTCTTACGGTTGTCTGGATTTCATATTCTGGGTAGTCAACTGAGAGGCGGCCCTATAAACTTCAAGATAGCCGACAATCTGTTCAGCTTGATGTGTGGTGAAACTATACGTCTAGGCGATGGGTAGGATACCCAAAAATACAATCTTTAACTCTTATTACTTTAGACTAGACCAAGCCCACTTAACGTCTATGGAAGTTGATTCATTTTCCTGTGACAGTCTTCACGCTATATTAATTGCTTTCGAACAATCTGTACCTGATGCACCACTATTCTGGAACATTGCGAACGCTCTTCTTAAGGTGAAAATTCAAACGGTTCAAGAAATATACACTTATATTTTGGTAGACTTTCGAAAATTGCTCTCAGTTACAACAAGCTATGATATCTGCTGGATTAGTTGATTGTATGGTTAATGTACTCAGACGGATTGCCTACACTGCTCCTACAGCGTAAACATTAAAGTTGTATTCAATGAATACAAGCTGTTGTAGGCAGTACGATGTTGTTTCTACTGAAGGACAAGACTCTTCATTGCAACTAGAAGCGTGGTGTTCATTCGCTCAAAGGATAATACAACTGGCTATACCATTCAGGTCAGATTGCTTGAATATTTGTGAATACGTTAAGATTGTAGTGATGAGTTGTTGGGAAACGCGTGCGAGCGGTTTGTTTGGTTACTCTTATTAGCAGATATACAAGCTGCTAAAGATATGCGGTATAGTGAGAGCATACGATTACTTGCTCACAAAGTGATCCGCTCGCAGTTGTGCATGGTAAGACCATTTGAGCCCGGATCTCACTATTGATTTTGTTAGGTCTTGTTCCATTACATCGAGTCAGTACAATCGGTATTCAGTGATGAAGGGAAGTCTGCTAGTGCTACCAGTAGTATAGATTCATTGTGCAATCGTAGGTTCAACCAAGTTGTATCTGTACTACTAATATTTAGAAACAAATTCATCTACCACTTCTTCTCCATCGGAAGAGTATGACTACTGTGATGATTTGATCACGCCTGAGAGAGCAACAAACTTGGATGGAACCTCACCATTAGCTGCATTTTTTGCCGGATCATTTGCCAATTTACGGGAAAAAATCAGTTTAATGGGTCCAAGTGAGAACATACTTTCTTTGGTTGTTCACAATGAGATTTACAGTTTCTAAAAAATCTCTCAAATGCAGCTTTTCTAAGAAAGTTGGTCCAGCAGCCTTGGCCACGATTGATGTTCTCACCAAGCGTGTTGTTTTTGCGTTGGATTCTGTATCTATTTTATTCACCGTGCTCATTCCTACATATGCTCTAGCAGAGGAGGAGTCCAACTTATTCCATTTCTATATGTATTTCCTACTTACCAGTTGGAAGAAAGACACAGTCGTAAGTGTCTTGTCTTCGAAGTTACTACTTGGTCTTTCTCAGAGTCGAACCACTACTCAAACTATTTGGAATAGATTAATACTATTCACCAGAGATAAATGCCGGATACTTCTCGCCCAGTTAGTCGCATTTCTACTTTTCCCAGCTCATAAGAAAATTCAAGAAGCTTCGAAATCAGGTCAGAACTCTGGAAAATTCTCATAAACGTTAATTATAGCCAGTTTACGCAATTGGAACAAGGAATGGACTGAAGATCAGAGATTTGTTATAATCCGTGTTCTTTCTCATGAGCTGAATTCAAAGATAGCATTACCTTCTCTACTAAATGTGAACTTGGTTGATATACTCTTTATTGTGTCCGTTAATTTTTCACTTTACAGGACTATGAGTATGCTCTTTGTTTGGGTGTTTATGAACTTGCGTTTGTTTCTCCACCGCGCGAAGAGTACAAGAGTGAAATTGAAAGAATGGTCCGCTTTCTGCAAAACAGCAAGACAGGATCTAATTTTGAACGTTTTACACTGGGTTCGTATATTCAATTCGTGCCAAAACAAACACATTTTTAAAGAGTCGCTGAAAAACTTGAACACTGAAGAGATACTATCGATGCATTCTTATTCGCAGTATCGAAAAACTGTCCTGGCTCAGCTGAGAAGTAAAACAGAGGCCATCTTAGAAGAGGAAGCAAAACTCACAGCGGATGTCGGAGGGGTATACTATTCTTCCGAATCGTAATAATGCTCTCTTCTAGATGGCTATGACTGTAACTTGCGAAGTAGTTGAAGAACAAAATTTACCCAGAAAAGTTTTCATACGAGGTTCAAAGACTGCAATCAGTGATTTTGTTGAGGCAGAGAATATTTTGTTAGCCATAGCGGTATCGAAAAGTTTCGTGGAATCTAGTATAAAATTATCCTTTGAAGAAAGAGTTGTGTCATCCAGAGTCTTCTGCCTTTGAGACACGACATTGGCCTGTAGGCTGGGCTCTTGATCCTACTGAGGGCCCTGTCAGAGAGCGCAGACGGTTGGTGAACGTTTTAAAATGAAATCATTAAGAGTATTCAATTATAGCTTGGCACCATTTTATTTCCCATTTGAGCCGCGATTTTTTAAAGATGAGAAGAAACGTATCGTTCAAGAAAATAAGGAGGAAGCGCCTTTACAGAAGTTATTGGTATTTATCTCCTTTTTCTTTTTTTTTTTAAAATTTCATGTCTTCCAGTCCATACCCTTGTCTTCTCGATCTACTTTTGAAAACGCTCAAATGAATGAGCCTATCAAAGTGTTCTTGGAAGTTACTGTATTGCGTGTAACATTCGAATGTAAAGGAGACTTACTTATTGGAGAAACGGGGGTTTACTTCGTTGGAGATACAGCTAAGAGCACACAGGTTTTTTGAACTTTGCCTCCAAAACAATATGTCCGTTCAAGAAAGGAACTGTTTGCTCTGTCATAACACTGGGTTGGAAGTTTGATCAGATCAAGGAAATTCATGCGAGAAATCATTTGCTGAATGACATAGCTTATGAAATATTCACTTCAAATGGAGACACCTACCTGATAGTTTTCCAGAATGCTCAGGTAAATTGAATGGATAACTCAGTCCTCAACAACATTTCAGAAACGACAACAGTTTAAAAGTTCATTGTTAGAGCTACACCTTGATCATTTATTCCCAAACACAGAACAACAAATAGCTTGTATTGTGTCAGCATGGAGAAATGGGAACCTGTCCAACTTTGAGTAAGCTCTTTTATACATGTTGCCAACTGTTCGTTCTGTAGATATCTTATGTATCTCAACAAGTTTGCTGGGCGATCGTTTAACGATCTCATGCAGTACCCTGTTTTCCCGTTTATTCTGTCTGATTATACATCTTCGATCCTCAATTTGCACAACAGTTCAAGCTATCGGTAGGGGTTCAAATATAGAAAAAGAGAATATTTTTTTAAGGATTTTATCCAAGCCTATGGCTATACAAGACAAGAGAATGGAAAGTCATTACATCTCAACTTACAACTGTCTACAAGCTGAGTGCACTCGAACTTCGATGGAGGCAGGCCCCTTACACTTCGGACCGTATCATTATGGAAGTCACTATTCTAATAGCGGAATCGTTGTGCATTATTTGGTTCGGTTAAGTCCGTTCACTCAAATCGCTCTGGAGTATCAGGTGAGTTTAAGATTTGTTTCATTAAAAACAGTTTTCTGAAGGACAACAACTTCGATATACCGGATAGGCTTTTCAACTCTATCGAATCTACTTGGCGGTTGTCTAGCAGTGAATCGACAACTGACTTCAAGGAGCTTATTCCTGAATTTTTCTGCTTACCTGAATTTCTTTACAATCGTGAGAATCTACGATTGGGTGTGAGACAGGCAGGCGAAGAAGTAGGAGATGTTAGACTGCCTAGGTGGACACCAGAAGGAAACGCTCGCCTTTTCATTTTGATTCATCGTCAAGCCTTAGGTTTTACAAATATTTTGTTCATTAATCTTATTATTCTTCAAGAATCTCAATATGTAACCCAAAATTTGCATAGCTGGATCGATCTCATATTTGGCTTTAAACAAACTGGAAAGGCTGCCTTAGAAGCTCTGAACGTCTTCCACCCAGCTGTTCGTATCCTTACGTTTTATGTTTTTGAGTGTTTTTTTCAGACATATTTGGGGAGATTAAACGCTGATGAACTCCCGGATGAATTAGCACAATCAGCCTTACGAACAATGGTGAAAAGTTATGGGCAAATGCCAATTCAGGTACATAAAAGTCACTTAGGTTTTTGAGTTCCACCACACCATTCTAGATTTTCAACTCGGCTCTCCAATCTTGTAGCAACACTAAGGACAAAAAAGAGAAAAGTAAATGTAAATCACCAGTTCCAACAGTTGAAGGAGTTCGGTCAGTTTCGTATATCAAAGTGAAAAGCTTTAATTTCTTTTCAGTTGGGGAGACTATGTCGGAAGCCCTGAACAGGATGCTTCGCAAATTCAAGTTGTTCTATCAGTGAAAGTAGTTTTAATTTCATTCTTCTGATATTTTTTTTGTTTTCTAGGGCTCTAAGGCCGACAGACTGGGAAATGTGATCAACTTACCTGATGGTGCGTCTGTTGGAGTTCCATACGAAACATTAATAGTAACAACATCAGTACCGGAAAACCCTAAAGGTGAGTTTTCTTTGACTATATTCAACCGTTCATATTGGCTTAGATCAATTGAATACTTCCTGTTCAATAATAACACTCGGAGCGCTCTCCTATTCCTTCTCGGATTCGATCTTACGCTTCCGGTATATAAAGCCTGAGGTGGAACCATGGGTGAACTTGATATGCTTGGGGAATAAGAAAGTATAGCATTCAGAAAAACCCTATCTTACTTTATTCAATAGGTATCTTGCATGGAATATTCTTCAACTAACCGAATCCTGTTCCTGTCTTTCACCAATGGCCTCATCAGATTATACAAATTGGAGTTAATCGATAATGTTTGAATAGTTTACTTTCTTTATTTTTGTTATTGTTTTAAGGAGAATGTCAATATCACCCAGCTCTCTGATTTGATCGCACATCATTCAGCTATTAATTGCTTTTCCATTTCTGATGAGTTCAGCGTGGCAATTTCGGGTGATCAGAATGGCAAAGTTGTTCTCTGGGATACTAACAGGTTTAGCTTGACTTGCTCATACTGTTCAAGAAAATATATTTTCAAGGTTATGTTTTGTTCGAGTTCTAAGACAAACAAAAAGTGCTGTAACGGCTTTGTGTATAAGTTCTACGAGTGGAGATGTTGCTGTTGTCTCTCAGCAGGGCTATGGAAGTTATGTCGAATTATACTCGGTATTTACATTGTATAATTTCATTCATAGATTTCTATATTTCAGATTAACGGAGATCTGATAGGCTCAGTCAAGACGGATACTCCTGTAACTTGTGTCACAATGACAAATCAAAAAGAGGGAACAGCTATTAACTGCATGGCTCTTGGAATGCTGGATGGGCATATTCTGTAACTATCTTTATCGTTCGTCAGTGAAACTAGCTTTATAGGCTGTGTGAAATGTGGTGTTTAACAATCGTACAAGACATTTGCCACGAAAATCATCATGATCCTATTCGAAGGTGCAGGATTTCGAGCTGGAACTAACGTATATTTTCTGTTTTTCAGTTTGGTTTATGCTTCAGGTGGGAAGAAGCTTTATGCTGTACAAGCAACAGGAAGAGTTCTCTGTTGGCAAACTGTTGCCAGCATTTCAAGAGGAAAGACAGCAAAGTTCACTTTCATTAATCCGCATGATCTTACTTGTTAAACTATTAGTCCATATTCGGGTTTTTTCTAATTTACTCGTAGTATCTCATCATTCATAGTCTACTTCATATCTTTCCTAGTCATACTTGCGTGTTTTTCTGTACATTCGCTCTAGTCCCGCTAGTATGCTTAACATGTATGCTTATCCTCGCGTAATTTACGGATTTCTTTTTCTTTTATCGATTTGTATGAAATAGAATAGTAAATTTTTATAACTTTATTTTCACAATAGTTTTGATATGAGAGGTAGTATTAGCCAGAACGTGTATTTATGAATCGCAATCCCATTACAAAGATCTGTATTGCAACAACATGATCGCCGTCCACTATTTCCCACACAGTATTTAATCTGAAGTAATAGTTACTTTGAATTTCAAGAAGGTTAAACCTCATTGCTGTAAGGATCGTATCCACAAGTTCTACAATCTCCGGTCAAATCACATGATTGTTCTAACTAAAACAAATTATGCTTGTTACACACGATTTTCGTACCTTTCCAGATCCACCAACGTAATTCTTGCACCACCCTGTTGTACAGTCTGTTATTCCTCGAATGGAATCAACATTGCTGTAGCATTTGATACAGTTGGTTGTTACAATGAGACTGAGAAAAAAATAGAAGGAATACATAGTGTAAGTTTCTGCAAGGAAGACCGAAGCATAGAACTCTTTGGTGTTGACCACCAAGCTTTCATCTCAGCCCTCTGTGATTCATCAACATGACAAACATCTTATCCTATATGGAAATATGTTTTATAATGCCCATATAATTATCATTTTTCTTCACAGACTGTTGTTATTTGATCAGATCGCTCATAACAAAACAAATATTCTTCAAATGAATGTGCTGTGAATTCTCTCTTTTCACCTATCGTACTCGCAATTTGTTTTTAGTCTCCATAACTTTGCCATTTCTAATTGGCAGTTTCCGGATCAATCGCTTCTAGAAAAAAAAACATAAAGATGCTTGTTCAAGTTCAGCTTGTGGCCGTTCCCCTTTACCCGGGATTGACCGCTAACTCAGGACGATAGTAAGCAATGACTTTCTACAAGATTTAATTTTCTGTAAATAATTATGACTGTAGCGATTGTGCGGTG